GAATTGGAATGGTCCAGAAAAACGCGTTGTTTGGAATAGCAGTGGGGGGGGGTGGAACTTCATGCAGATACGGGGTGGTTTTGATAAGTGGTTCCAGATGCTTTTGCCCATGCTTAAGAGATGCCAAGTTTTTTGGAAGATGTTCGCAGCCAAAATGCATTCTTCCGTACGTCGCATTTCTGTGTAATTTCGCATGTGGTGTGGCATTATGTCCGGGATGATGCACGTCTTTTTATTTTACCGTAGCTGTTTTGATATTGAAGTAAATGCATATTTTAGAAACATCCCTACTTTTACAATCCTGTGGAATAGGCCGAAGGTTTAGGCAGTTGTCTGGTAGCAGAGGTACTGTAAGCAGATATCCTGGTTATCTGGCCTGCGGTAGTAACACTCGCGGTGCTTACCGCAACTGTTGCTGGAATTTGGCCTGTTCCAGGCGCGCTTAATTAGGTACAGGCACGGTAAGACGGTCATTGACGGTGGGGCTGTCTTTGTTACTAGACACGACCATGATAGTCCGATCTTTATGTGAATGCAATGATTGTGTGTGTGTAATTAAAATGAACTTCGAACTTGAAGCACAGTATCTTTACACGCCCTGGGAGCAGTAATGGATTTAGCTCTTTGTATGTTTTATGCTTGTGACGTGCCCTCATCGTACTAACCGTTGCCTAATTATAATGTCTGCACAGTAGGTCTGGCGTTGACGCTTGGGATTTTGTTGAAATATATAAAACTTCACGGAGGATTGTCACCTATGGCTTCTTGTTTCAATTTAATCTACAAATCATCAAGATATCAAGCTGCAAGATTCTGTATGAACAACTATGTAAGAGGTGCTAGTGTCACGGAAATGAAAAGAGACCTACAGTGGACCTCACTTGAAGACAGAAGAAAGATGTCTAGACTATGCATGATGTACAAAATGACTAATAAACTGGTGGATGTCCCAACTACTAAGTACCTAATACCAGCTCAGAAGAGAACAAGAAATAGCCACGCATTCAAGTACCAGAGTTATCAACCAAGGATTGAGGTGTTCAAGAATTCATTCTTTCCTAGAACTATCGCAGAGTGGAACTCACTGTCACCAAGTACAGTAGGGGCACTGTCAATAGATAGCTTTAAACAATGTCTAGAGCTAGAAGTTCAAGGGTTAGGTGTAACAAGTCGATCGGTGTAATATAGCCAGCTGCCGCCGCGCCACGTGCCTGCGAAGCTGGTGTGTTACACCGAAAGGCGGTTATACCGGCTATACAGATACAGATACAGATCTTACTATTAGTTGCTATAAAGACCGTATCCAAAAGCTATATTGTATGGCTATTAAACATGATGGAGATTATGTAACAAACCTTCAAAATGTCACCCATGTTGATTAGACGCTGTGGATCGACACAGATTCCATGATATTCCATGCCTTGTAAGGATAACATAAAATAATTTCAGAACACACATCCACAACATCAATAAACCATTTCTTTGCCAAAAATATAAAAACTAAAGCCACAGGTAAACTGCAAGATGGTAACCAGTCATATTACCGGTGAAACTTACTTACTTACTAGATCCTAGGCAATTCCCTATTCTTTTCAAGAATTATACCTACCTGCCAGAATAGGTGTTAGCTTCATCTCAACATTGAGGTACAGGTCCAGTAGGTCACAGTCCTAAGAAAGAGATAATTAAGTTTGAAATAATTATTTCCAAAAGTAAATAACCAGTGTTGCAACTTGCATGCACTATACCACAGTCACACATAGTCTAGAACTCAATATTTACCATGAGCCTCCTTCTGAGCAGCTCCATTGCATCTAACAGCTGGCTCAAGTCCTGGCACAGAAGAGTAGTAGCATCGGCATCCTGAAAAAGAACCATGATTCCATGTCATTCTGCCTGTCAATCTTCACCCACCCATGTGCTGTCAACCTATTATGTCAGCACAAAGCAACACACAAAATCAGGGCTCAGTCAACCAAAACAATTCCGAATGCAGAATTAACAACAGATATAGATATAGTCGCTGGCCGCATTAATTATTAATGAGTGGTGATTTTTTTTACAAAATTTATACAAATTATATATTATTGTTAACTGTCAACACCTACTTGATCACATTCTTGATGATTATCTTTCCACAGCATTTTCACCACTTCAGTGAATGTGTTGGGAGGGTGGTCAGGATTCAGCAGCCATCCGGCAACCTTGGGGTCTACCATGCTCCAGTTATACACTAGGGCAATGCAAAAAGACAAATCAAGAACCTGTAAATTACTGGAGGAAAGCAGATGGGCTTGACTCTTATAATGTCTTGTAATATAATATGCTACTTAAGAGCACATTACCTGAGGTGATGTCCAGTGAAAAGTGAGAGATCATGGTCAGGATCAGTTCCTGGGCATCCAAGCACACTTTGCTGACTTTGCTTGTCATCAGCTGTGTCAGCATCTCTCTAAAAGGGAAAGAAATGGTTAGAAAATGGCAGCCTGCTTAGACTTAATAGCTTTGAAGAACATCAAAATTGATTAAGAATGTTGGAAGACATACACAACAGATCATTTACTTAAAGCATTCTACTGAGTAAATCACAAGGATTTTAGATATTCTGTACCTGCAGTATGTTGTATAGTCCTGCTCCTCCATGTTAAGTGGAAACATCATGAACTGTAGCTGCCTGATTCTCTTGGCTTGTCCACTACAAGCCTGTACAGCTCCAGAGGAGGGCCTGGGAAAAGCAACAGCAATGCCCACTGCCTAGAAATACAATTACATGCCTTATGTTTTACACATGCATGGCATAAAAAAATCATATCAGATAAAAGAGCAAAGCTATAGTTTTTTTTTTAAACACAATTTTGTTGCAACTCCAGTAAGAAAGCATCTACCATATAAAATATAGGTCTTTTTCTTTCCAACGGAAGGCATTTCAGCACCCTGACAGATAGTTTGGTTCTTGTTTATCATTTCTGGGTTCAGAAGCATTGTTTTGGGTGACTGAGTTGTGTGCTTATGTCCCTGTTTGTTCTAATTGCATGGTGGGTGGGGAGTGACTTTGACAGTTGATTGGTAGGGCAGTCATGCCTGAAGGTAATTTCTTGTTGTTTTGCAGAGAACTACATGCAGCAGATGATGCAGAGTTTAATTTCAGTCCAAAACAATCTGTCAGTATGACTACAGGTACTACTTCATTAGATTTTTATAATTAGTATTTTTATTTTCTTTTGGGATGGGGGTTTGTTACTTGCAAGAGACTTTCTTCATTGGTCCCCTCTTACTTAGGAAAAGAAATAGTACATGTACGCATGATGTAAAACGAAATTCGTACCTGTCATGTATATCCCGGCAAATGTGAGGGCACAATGTTAAGACGTTGTTGTTGTACCTTATTGTCGTTGTCCTTAGGGATGCCCTTGGTGGTGGGTTCCCTGAGCTGCGATGTGTCATCACCATACACCAAGGCCATGCTGACCTCCCTTACCCCCAACATGTCAGTCACAGCCTGCTGTCTCTCACACTGGGATATTCTGGATACATCTATCATTGTACACTTGGTTTCCTTAGCTTTTTGTGTTTTTTCTTTCTGCAATATAGATGAAAAGTACATAAATGAAGAGTATAATTGTGCTCATGCAACATTCAGGGTAATGTTTTCATCCAAAATTGTGGGAAAACTCTATCCCTGAAACTATGCGAGTAATAGTACCGGTAATCCGTCACAATTAGCAGTTTAACTAACAAAGGCATGGGAATTAGCTATTAGAGACATTCTCAGGTACTGATAACCACAAAAAGGACCCTGGCTTTCCATACAAACAGCCCCCTGCCTATGCCTAGACCTTTTCACACACCTTTGGCTCCCCTTGGTTTTTCTGCTTTCCTTCCCCCTTAAAAGGTGCGATGAATGTTCTCTTGTTGACGTGTGGTGTCGGTGCGGAATATAGCTGCCTCTTTGCTGGTGGTTCCTCTGAACTGGTGCTAGGTTTTGAAGTCCTTTTGATGTGTGGAGTTGCATCAGATCTAGAGATATTGATTTTATCAACAGTTTGCCATATGCAAAATTATGCAATTGTAAGATTTCGTTACATCTGAAATTTCTATACATTTAAAATCAACTCACATATAGATCTCATTTATGAACTTTAAGTTAGTGTTGTGAAGAGGTTCTTCTGGATTGTAAAGACTGGTCGCACACTGGACTTTTGTGGAGCTTGATGGTTTAATTTGTGTTGCCTCCAGGACTCCTATCACCAGAGTGAGGTTCCTGGGTTGGACTATTCTACTTCTAAGATGGGGGGTTGTGTAACAGGACTAGTCTACGTCTAAAATAGGGGGGTTCTTGTATGGTAATGCACATGTGGTTCACAGTGGGTTCACAACAGTTAGTCTAGCCCTATCTTCATAATACAGAGTATTTAACTGGGAACACACACACACAAACACATAAATGCACCTATCATCTCTAAGGCTTTAAGAAAAACCCGAGATTCATCACCTGTTTGCTTTGGTCCATAACTGTAGCTTTGTCTGAATAGCTGACCCAGGTGTTGCCCTCTTGCCTTCCATTGACGTCTCAGCGTGAAAGTCTGTGGAAAGCTTATCTTTACAGCACTGATTGTGCTGTTTTGGTGTCTCAGTTAGAGACACAGATTTGGGAGTGACTTTCTCTTTATTAGTACCTTTTCTCTTTCCAAAACCTGTGGTAAAGGATGCATCCAATTCAGGTGCATCACTTCTGTTGGCTCCAATCATTATCACTGATGATGAGCTGGGTGTTGATGATAAGAGTTTGTTGCGTATGGCTGAACCAGGAGCTTGTGCAAGGATCCTGTCATGAGAACAATTTGGTGTACTGCTCTCATTGACTTGAGATTTGTTTTCATTCTTATCAGCTCCAGTCTTACGAAAACCTTCACTTGGTTCCCTAGCCTTGTTTTTCACTTTACAAGGACTTGAAGATAGCTTTTTAGTGATGTTTGGCTCTCTTTCTCTCTGGATTGCATCAGCATTTGTTTTTGTCTCAGGCTCCTCAATGACAACAAACGTACCTGTTTGTTGGGTTTGTTCCTTGGGTAAACATTCTGAAATATCACCTTTGTCTTGAGATTGAGGCATCACCTGACATAAAAGGAGATCAGTGGTTGACTGTGAGTCTTGTGAGATTTCTGGAGTAGAATTTTCCATGATATCTCTATCGACCAAACAGCCAATGTCAAATGAAAGATCTTCCTCTATTCCTCCCAAAGAAGATGGAGACTGTGTTGTAACATTTTTGTTGCCCTCTGACTGTTTCACAAGAGAAAATGAACTCTGTTCCCTCATATCCATACTCTCTTCTAACATGGGTTTTGATGACATAGGTATTGTAGTGTCCCCGATGAGTTGCAACTGCACAGGCTGTTTGTCACTGTCAGTATTAGTATCGTGTATTTCTTTTGACATTATATCCCCTTCATGATCTTCACAGATTTCCGTATCCCTCATTTCAACGGATTCAACAACATTCTCCAAAGTTTTCTGGCTTCCAATACTTTGTTTAGCTGAAGCTGTGGAGCTTTGTGAATTACCATCACCCAAAGGTGGAGGACCTGTATTAGAGGTAGCCTTGTTTTCTTTCTTGTCATCATTGTCATAGTGACTGGGTGAACACTCAAATGGAGGACTACATTCTCCTGTCTCTCTATCCCACCTATCTGCATCTACCAGTTCTACATTGGCAGTGTCAGAAAAGTTCTCCTCTTCTGGAGCTTGCTGCAGATTTGTCAGGTGTGACATTTTACCTCCAATAGCCAGTGTGGATGACTGGCTCAGAAAGAGATCAATCTGGGAGCTAAGTAGGGATGGGTCACTTGCTTCATCCTCTTGATAAAGTGATGCATTGCTTGCTCCTTTTGCACAAACGGGACCATGACCTATGGTACCATTTACCTTGTGATCAGCCAATTTACTGAATGGGTACAAATCATTTTGAGGAGCTTCGTGCCCTGAAGCATTGCTAAGTTCACTTGGCAATGTACTGGAGGTAATCACATCAACTACATTCAGATGCATTGGAGCACCAATGTGGGTAGTTGACTGAGGAAAGTGACCAGGTATTTCAGGCTGAGAGCTGATTTGACTGGAAAGAGCTGATGACGTCGCTGTGATGTTATGTTTTGTATCACTGTAACCGATTCCTTTCCAGCTAGGTTCAATTGAAATCAAAGGACTGTGTGATGTACATCTTTCCATCAATGTGGACATCTGGGTGCCAGTGGCCTGAGAAAAATCGGTGGTGCTCTGGCTGTTGCCAGATACTGAGGCATCTGGTGGGGCACCAAATTTCTTGGTGTACAAGCATCTATAGTAATCTCTTCCATCTGGAAAATGAATATATACATGTATCACTGAGACAACATCATACAGATGTTTTGAAAAAAGTCTATGTGCATAACCAGTATGGTGAAAAAAATTGTAATTTGTGCATGGCCTTAATAAATATCTATGTCTTTTTGTTTGTTTTGCATTACCGGTAAACCACCTTAAGGCAGTACACACCAGTTTTGTACAGTAGGCACAAGCTGCATAATACACTGGCTGTAAGGTTTGATCCACTTACACCAGGATGGACCACTTTTGTATTTGAGTGATTAACATACTTGAGGTGCAGCTCTTCTTAAACAAGGGACCGTCAGCTTTGGAGAATGGTATGAATACTAAAAAAGTAAATATCGAATACCGACAAACACTCTAGAAATACATGTAGTTACACAGAAGTATGAACATTGAGTTTCTGTGCAACTTTGTGGTAAACCAAGGATTAGCCAGGAGTATTTCAACCCAGGCTATTGATTACATGATAGAAAGGATGGACATGAATATTGTCATTCTGAAAATCCTTCATCACCTGGACGTCTTCTTTGGGCCCTCCTCAAGACCGACAGGATGATACTGGCTTCAGGAGATCGGACCTGAATCTCAGCGGGGTCGGGAGGTGACTGGGCAGGGGTCCAGATTCTCTGCATATTTCACTTTCTCCCTGCTGACCTCTGCTAAAATCGAACACTACAAAGTTGAGTGTAAGGATGTCTCAGCCAGTTGCTGGATGTAGGTATATGTCTACACAACCACTTAATTCGGTCTCAATTGCTTCCACATTTTCTGTGCAAGAAGACAGACGACAATACTGCAGACGACACTTTGCTCACCTTCGAAACTCCCGCCATTTTGTTGAAGCAAATAGCGAATGTAACAATGTCTATGATTCGTCTGCGGTGGGGGCTGGTCTGTGATGTCATCATCTGGCCGGCTTTCTGGGACTTGGTTTCTTCGGAAAGTATTAATTGAATCGACGACAAGACAGTCAACAGTTCATTTCTAATATCCTTCAACACAATTCTGACTGACTTCTGTCAGCGGTCTGGGCAATAATTACGTTAAATAACCCCACGCTTCAGCTCGCCTGGCTCTCGCAACTCTCCCCACCAGCGGATAGTCTTGTAACGAGTGCTGTGATTGGTTCGTCTCATGATTGTCATGCGCCGTGAAGGTGAATATGGCGGCCGAAGTGTGAGGACGACAGATAGGTGAGCAGCTCTCATGGCTTTTTGATGGTTTCTGTGTGTTTAAAGTCTCTGTCTCTAAATAGTAATGCCCGATCTGTCAATGAAATATATTTTGGACATTGTGGAGGGTATTAGAGGTACAGACATGCCAATATCGCCGGCGGAAACGTGGCGTCCTGATGTCGGGGGCGAGGCCATGTGCACACCTCACCGGGCCGGTGTCTGTGCGGTCAAGTTACTTGAGACAGACATATACGAGCATTTTCCCTTTCTTACCTTTAAGTGATGTTTAATCCGTTTAGCGATGTTTAATCCGCTCTACAAGATTAGGGTTCTGAGCGTTGTTGTGAAGTACTGTGGAGGCTTGGTTTGGAGACCAGTACAGTACAGTTCAAGACAAATAAATAGACCTGTAACATGAGCTGCAGTCAAGACAGGGCTATGTGTTGCCCGTCACTCTAGATCAGGACTGTTTTTTTAGCACCCCTCTCAGTCAAAACACATCAGGCTGTGATGCAAGAACCCTAACTACCAAACTAAGTGCCATTGCATCATTTTGTAGCCAGGTATCCAACCATATCCGTGGGTATTGGATATGGCTCAAGGCTAAAATTTAGAGCTAGTGGCACAGAGACTGAGAGAGAAAATGGGGATGGATACCAGGCAAAAAATGATGCAATGTTATAGAATATCGATATAATTAAATGAGCAATGCTGCAGTGGCTGAAAGCATCAATCAATACCATACCCCAGTGGTTTCTGTAATTCAACTGTTTGCCATGCCTGGATGGATACCAAATTTGTTAATGGTCATTGGACTTTAGATGACAGGTGTGCTTTCAACATCAATAAAGTGCCTTGAAATGCCTTCCCAATTCCGGGTAGTGTTAAATGTACTACCAACATGCAGCAAGTAATTTCCAGGGTCCATGTGGTTGCTAAATAGGAAATCCCAGCATATTGCTTTCATTCAAATTGGAAATAGTAATGGCCTAGGTCTGGAAGATTCACCAGTTTTCCTAAAGTGATAGAGATTGCTACATTTGGACAGGTCATTGCTGGCAGAATCCATGCCATTCCATTGAGGCTTTTTCCAGATTCCCATGGGCTTTTGAACAGCAGGACCTTCATCCTGACCATTTATAGGAACAGTGGCATGATATGCATCTGCACAAATTTATCATTTTTCTAGTGTAGTATTGGTTTGGTTGGGTTGAAAAATGCTATTTCTGTAAAATGAAGATGTAACAATGTTATTCTGATACATGTTCCACCTTTCCTCCAGGAAGTTGTTGGTATCATGATTGTAACTCAGTCATGCATTCTGTTTACAGACGTTGGGTGTAAATACTATTGCTGTATAAAATGGCCAGATATCACTCCAAAACGACTGTGTTGCAAAATGACTGGGACCAAGTCGCATCTGCTGTCTGGCAGAGGTACCCCAACCCACACAGGTCAGTGTAAAATCTTATGTTCACCGTAGTATTAGTACTATGCACATAGTAACACACTAACTTAAAGGGCCATTCCACTTGATAACTACTGGGGGATCAGTTGACATGCTAAACCTTACTCTGTATATTTCAAGCCCTGAAGTGATATGACACAAAATGGTATTATAGCAAGTGTGTAGCAAGGGAGTTATGGGGGGATATAGGTAGCATGGGGGTATTGAAAAATATATCTTCTTTATGTCTGTCCAGTAAACATGTTCTGAGTGAAGATGTAATTTCGAGGAAGGTAGAAGACAACAAGCTCCACAGTTTCCGGTTGCTGACCAAGACGAACCATCTACCCAAGTGGGGGGAGCGATTTCTGCCTGCTGGCACCCCCAAGTTTGCATCCATAGTGGAAGAGTCCGTGGTGGACCCTGTTGCCAAAACCTTCACAACATTCACATGGAACCTCAACTTCACCAGAATTATGGTAAGAGTAAGAAGAAAATTTTTGTCTAATTGTCTAAAATTCATGTACACAGTCAAAGCTGCTCAAGAAAGCAACCCAGGGGACTGTGATAAAGGTCTTATTGGTCAGGTGGCTTTCTTGGTCAGGTCATTTAGTGCTTGTACAGTTGCATGTATGGGAAATTTCGAGACCAAGAAAAGGTATTTGTTATGGCCAGGTGCCTGCTTTACGAGGTGGCCACATGTGCAGATTTGACTGTGACATTCTCTTTTTCTGCAAGATTTAGCAATTTGAAGCAAGTGTATGGTGACTTCCATATTCCATACTGATGAATCAGTAATTCTCAGGTATTTTAGATCTGTGACATCTAGTTTTTCTTTCACTCATCCAGCATGTTAGAGAGAAGGTGGTCTATTCAGTGTCACCAGAAAACAGTGGCTGGACACAAATCCACAGGGAGGCCTGGGTTTCCTCTGGCATGTATGGCTTCATCCGTGCCATCCAACACTTCGGGGTGGACAGGTACAAGAAGAACTCAGAAAGGGCCAACATGGGACTCCAACTTGTACTGGACAAACTCTTTAACAAAGGACAACAAGTCGCTATAGAACAGAAGCCTATAGAAAAGAAGGGATTACTGAAAGAGAAGGCTAAAGTTGCAAAGGAAGCAGCCATTCAGGTGGCTCAGCAGAAGGCACAACAGAAACAGGGAACGCTGATGTGACAAAAGGCAGACCAAGTGGATAGTTAGAATTACAGCAGTATGGTCAGACTGAAGATACACATTATAAAGGGTGTTGGTTCAAAACCTCAAACCATCAAAGGTTGTGGAAAAGAGCAATACAGGATGAGTTAAGGTTTCACTGCAGTGTTGTAATGGTATGGAACTTGTCTCACAGGGACTTTCTGCTGCTATGGTTGACAACAAACCATTGCATGTACATCAGTGTTTATAGTGATGGGCTGTCAATCTCAGGTACTTGTGGAAGTACTTAAAATGCTGTTTTGATTTTACTGCTCTGGTTGTATCAGAGCTGTCATGTCAAGAATAAGGAAGTTCATGAGCTCAAGGGTTAAAGATAATGTACCTTGATTGTATATAGCTTTCAATCTTGCAGTAAGTTTAGTGCAGTAGAAGTTGTTTGCCTTGTACAGTTACTCGTATGATATGTACATACTACAGGATGAAAATGTACAAAGACAGAATTAAGAAATAGACAAGAACCATTTGGGGTGAAAATTGAAAAAAATGTACAAAGAGGTACAAACTTTTGACCTGGAGAAAACATCCACCCTGGAATTACTTATCAAGTCAAGCCTCAGCTGACTTCTTTGTAAAAATTCTGCACCAGGATTCCAGTTTTGCTGTAGATACTCAGTATTTCCACATTTTTACAAACACTCAGGGTTTCTGTTCTGTGGTCTTGTGTCAAGCAATGTTGTCCACCAGGTCCTCTTTGTATAAGTTGCCCCTTCTCCTTTCCACCACACAAGTTAACACCATTTAAGACTGCGCAACAACCATCACTTCAAACAGAAGTTTATCTTTCATTTATTGAAAAAGAAAACCAATAAATGCTTTCAAAAGGAACTTCTTTCTTGGCTTGTTAGAATGTTTAATTAGCATCTCTAGCCAGATGATTTCAGACTTTCAGGAGAGTCCTTCATGCAATCCTCTGCTCCCATGATTTCCCCATGTTGACTGATCCTGAATGGTAGGAAACAGACCTGATATCATCTATAACTACACAACAGCTAGACACAACCAGAGGCTAACATTGGACCTGTACTATGTAATGCGATTATTCTATCACTACGATGGAAGTAAATTTAGGCTCGGAATTGGTTCTCATTGGTGCCTTCTAAACCTGACTTAGCTGTTTGAATCAGCCTGAGTGGATAAGAAATCCACTAAATGTGAGGAACCTGTTACTATCACTGTACAAACTGCGATCTGTAGTCTGCAGCTCCACCCAAACCTCGTCCCCAGGCTGCAGCTGCAGGATGGCACTGTTACTGGCAGACTGGTGCTGGGATTGCGGGCCGTTGTTCTCGTGCAGACCAACCATCTTGGATCCATTCTTCATAAGAAGGATGAAATAGTTGGTGTGAGGTGCATACGGTGTCATACCAGTAAACGTGAAGAAGTAGATGCCTCCGACTGTAGCCACAAACTTCCCTGTCTCCTGCTTGTACGCTCCGCCCACATTGCTAAGGATGGTGTCGTACATCATAACTGTGGAGGACGAAGGCTTCAGGAGGCTGGTCGTTCTCACCACGGAAAATGTCACAACAGGTGAAGCAGGTGGGCTGGTACCAGGTGCTCCCTTCTCACCTGCTGGTCCCTGTTCACCTTTCTCTCCCTTCTCACCTCTCAGTCCGACCGGACCCAGCTTACCCGGTGCACCACTCACGCCCTTCTCACCCGGCGTTCCGCTGTGGCCTGAAGATCGTAAAATAGTAAATCAGTCTGGGTTGGTGGCTTTGCTTTTACAACTTATGTTTGCAAGAAATGGTGATTGGTAGTTTAAAGGGTACATTGATCTTAATTTTCAATTAAAGTAAAAGGCATACACCTTTGTTAATTCCGTACCTCGGGGTCCCACGTCCCCTTTCGGTCCAACAGGTCCGGGTGCGGCCACCACAGTGATGTTCTGATTGTTGTTGAACTGTTTGGCACAGGAACCCTCCTCTACCTTCTCTTCGGCAAGAGTATGGATCATCAATGTGCCGAGAAGAAAAACCGCAACCAGTAGTGTTATCTGGCGCATTTTAATGTGTTTCAACAGCCCAGACGTGTCAGTATACTGCTTGTAACAAGAGTTACACTGGTCTGGACTGATTAACAAGTGTTCTGTGATACTTATACACCTCTTCAACTCATGTTTGTCAAGGAACAATCATTGGTCTTAGTCACTTAACAACGTTTTCAGAATAAATCAAGATAAAAACAGGCTAAATAAAACATTTATTATATTATGATTTAACCTATGAACGTCATACTGAAGTTTTGCAAGCCCATCATTAGTTTTGGCAACACCTGTTGCTAGGATATCTGTCTGGACATAAAAGGTGCAAATATTTGCATCTTTAGTCCCTGAACTAATTTTCATGTGAATTGTCACGTTCTGCTGACTTCATGCTTTCTTTATTTAATAGCACCACAACATTTGCTAAAAGGTCAGACACAATTGCGGGAATGAAAGGAGGTACAACCTTAAGCTAGTTGTAAAATTTTTATTACATATTCAATCACTGTTCACATATATTCAGCAGGATTAAATGTACAGGTATTGACTATCTCCAGTGCACAGTACTGTTAACATCAACAATCCAAAGTAAGAAGATCTGCTTATCCAGCATAGTTTGAAAAGTTTTGGTCAAGGCTAGTTAAACAGTAGATTGTCATCATTTCTATTTTTCAGAACAGTACGTGTTCTGTAAATTTTCTTTGTTTTGACACTAAGGCACATCAAGGCAAATCACAATTTACACTGTACACTGCAAAATACAAAACTTACTTATTAAACCATACAACATTTACAAAAGTATCTCAAAATTTGCACTTACAGGTCAATTTTTGTCATGCCTTTTAACAAGGTGAATGGATGAAATATACCTTTTCAAACTATTTTGTCACAATATTGTCAGCCATGATCACAGAACAGTACTGTCAATCTAATATTCAAATCACTTACTAATAGACAAAATTACATTTTTAATATCTGTATTTACAAGAAAGATGGATCCATGTTGAGTCTGCAGGAGATCTGGTTATGGCATTGCACTTGACAATAAACTTCAAACTTGTACAATGTACTCCTAAGTGGTCAGATGGAAGAAGCTGCAATATATGCATACAAAATAAGAGTGGCTTTAAAAATTGGTGTTCAGTTTTTCTAAAAAATATAAAAATCAAGTTATGAAATTTAAAAAACTATAATTTTTGGTACTACATGTACATCTTTTGATGCATTAGTAGATACATATCAGTACTCATCAGTCACTGATGTCTTAATCAGCAGGTGTCATTCCTCAGTGCTGACTTTCATTTTAAACACTTGGAGAAATTATGTACAGACTGATGTTTTCACAGAAGTTATCTCTGTGTCACTCAAAACCACAGCTGCCTTTAATCATTAAAAATAAGTATCCATAAAAAGTATATATTCAAAGCCCTTGTTTTTAAGGCAACCAGACATAGTATAAGACGTCTTAGCCCAGTCATTCAGTGTGCCAGGTCAGGCGATTGAGACCCTCCCACTGGATCTGGGCGAGGCTCCTTCAGTCTCTTCAACCTCTTGGAGCTGAGAAGGGGATCAAAAATAATAAAGTCACATTGAGCAATGGGAAAACATCAGCAGATGCTGTAGGACGTGTGCAGAAGCAGCTACCAATTGATGCTACTGATAATTTCATATTGTGCGTAAAAGATGCATCAAGGAAAACAATGCAAACACACAGCCATGCATATTTTTATATCTAAATGCAACTGTAACTGCACTTACATGTACTTATACTGTTATACATGTACCTGTAATGCAGACTTCTTCCTTTAATGGTAAGGTTACTACAAATGTATTCAATTTTCAAGTTTTATGTTTTCTCTTTTGCATTACCTCAATCTACAAATGTAAGTAGGGATTCAGTTGACCAAAGTTATCAACTGTCTTAGCTTGTTGTAAATGTTTGCTGACATTCATACATCACAGAGCAACATAAGCCAAATTTACTGGCATAGAAAGGGGGGCCAAAGCACATCTAGTAGCAATAGAAAAGACAGCTTATGCTTGTGACAGCATGTATGAAGAATGCCTGATGACCCTGACCATATCCTAGGAGATTGCAGAAGTGATGGTCAGGTCTCAACACAAAGAAACTCATCAGTTCAGCTCAAGTCCCAGCTACATACTAAATGTGGCTAAAAGATGCAGAAGAAAGTACATGTAACAGTGGAGAAGCTGCTTACTGAGAATGCATATTGCTTGCTATACAGATGCAATAAGCAAAGGCACATAAGCTCAACATTCAGATGCTGAATCACAGTACAGTGAAGCACCGACCCATGACCTTGAAGATCATTCCTGAAGGTGAGGGGAATCTGCCCCTCCCAACGGCTCAGGGCGGGGTTCCGGAGCGTTCCTCAGGGGCGGAAGGTGTGTCTTCTTTTTTAATCTCTTTAAGGCACTAGATAAGACAGATCAGAAATTGAGAAATCACACAGATCAAGGAAAGTCCATGAATATCACCCTGAATTATTGACAGGTTAGTTAGATGAGAAATCTGATACCCGGTACAGATTGGAAACAGTTCACAACCATACATGTACATGTACAACACACCAAACACAAACAAGTAAATAACAAATAATCACAGTCACCACCAACAACAACAACATTGAGATGATCAATGATAGGACTGCAATGGCTAGCATTGCTAACATTCTGTATTAAGCATGCCATAGCCCAGCCCAATGTGGTGTGTAATGTTTAAAGGCTGAAGAATAGAGGGTGGTTTTCCATCTTCAAGCCTTCTTCCCAAAACAAAACCAAAAAGAGTTTTAGAAAAGGTTTTCTGAGACTTATGCAGAGACAACATAGTGACAGAAGAACTTCTCATTCATAGTAGAGCATGGTCAAACGACAGTCTAGGATACAACAACCAAACTTTGTGTCTTATTTAATCTTCTTACCCTTCCTTCTTCCTTTTCTTCTTGGTTGAAGGAGGAGGAGTGTAAGGTCCTAATGTGGCTTCCCTGATCCTCAAGGCTAATGTGCTCTCTCGTCGGGAGATTCCTCTGTACAAACAAAGCACAGTTATCATCTCTAGAAATATTAAATATTTCTCATAACGGTATTAAATTTCTATGACAAGATAGCATTCAATCAACTGCTCATTCTAGACTTCCTGTAAGGATCAAGAATCAATGCAACTTGACATGAATCTATAACACTGCCAAACTGCTTGACTTGCTTTTTTTTTGCATGAACTGTCTACAGGCTTGCTTGAATACCTTAGTTACATGTTGAGCACTGCACCGTACCTGGTAGGTGGTACCCAATTATGCAATTACGTAGTTGACCTTACACAGCTTGTACTTATCATGTACATGTACACCATGGAATTATGTTCTAAAAGGAGGTGATTTACAACTTGGACAAATGTCTTACCTCGATTTTTTCCTGCTCCCACTATCTGACTCATCACTTGAGTTGGACCCTTCTGTGTAGATTTTCTCCAGGATCTGACTGATGTCAGTGTTGTGGGGGAAGAGGAGAGTCAGGACAGAGGACAGCTCCTCTCGCTCAAACCTGCCCGTCTTCACCAGCCCTGAGATAAACTTCAGCTCCTGCAGGGGGCAGATTTACAAGTACAGCAAATTGGAAAACAGTGCTGTATAACTCTAATATTCACACCATTTATCTGAAATAGAGACTAACATACATGTACTAATGTAAGGGTATAGAAATCAGAATACACATGAAACATTGTGTACATTACAAGTTTGTGTTTGAGATGTACAATCTCTTTAGCATGGAGTGCTAGATATATATTAGCCTAGATAAGGAAGCTAAGTTAGGACATGACATGAGTAGATCATGGAATGCAACCTTATAGGTCAAACATGTCATCTCACCTGTTCTTGCAGTGCCTGCTTCCTCTTCACATCCCACTGTCGTCTGTAGTCCTCTAAGTTCTGCTCTATCCCTCGTTCCATTTTTTGTCTGGAAATAAAAACAAAATCAACATCTCAGTATGGAGTTTTTACAGAATGCACCACTTGATGAATTCCCTTTGCCAGTTGACTTCTGAAATTATGCCTACTTTTAAGAAAAATGTAACTATGGTGTGCAAGATTAGATAGAAAGACTAAGCTACCTTAATCAAAAGGAAAAGGTCTGGTCCATGGATAAAGCTTTAAGAGAAATTAGTATCCTTAATCTCAATCCTCAATCCTTTTTAGAATAGGGAGAGTGCACTAAATGTATCCAAATATCCAACCTACAAATGAAAAAAAGCTGTGAATCAATGGCACACATAATGTATGAACATCACTGTATGAAGAACAGACAGTGTCTTAAGACTCAAGATTTCTTTATTTGTTCTCACACAAATGCCCTTATTCATGTAATATTGTGCTCATTACACTTTAAATTCACCATGCTTTTATAACTGTGTGCCAACACCATGACAGGAGAGCCACCTTGAGCAGAAGCACCAACATTACATATGTACCTAGCCTCTGCTAACTCAGAATGGTGGTAGTGTTTAACCATGGTCATCCTGGACCCAAAGAAAGATGCCTCACAGTCATCTTCATCATCATCATCGTCTTCTTGGTCTGAGTCTTGGAATCCTTTGTTAGCATAAGATTTTCCTCCACTTCAAGAGGTAGCAGGTAAGGGAAAGAAGTGCATAGATATAAAGCCTTGGAGATAACTTCTGACACCGAGGTCAATATTGTATGCTGAAATGTGATGCAGCATGCTGTATGTTATTTATAAGCATTCAAGCACCACCTCAGTGTACAGATTATTTCAGCTACATAATTTCTTGTTTTTCAACTATGAGATTTCAAAAGGTAGACAAATCAATGGTCATGTGGGACAACTATGATACTATTTCCTACTTAAAGTGCAGCAACATTCTAGCTACATCCTTACCGATGCTTTTCACTCTCCACAATGTACTTGTTCTTCATGGCGGCCATCTTGAATCTTGCGGCAGTCTTGCTGGCCTCCTGACTGTGGATCTCCCGCAGCCTCTCCTCGTGGAGCTGCAGCATGGACTTCTCCCGCTGCATCATCTTCTCTGTCAGCTTCTTCTTCAGCTCCTCCTCCTGCCGCTGTCGCTGGTGGTGCAACTTCTTCTCAAGTTTGTCCACGTCCTGTATACACAGACACAGATCATCATGCTGACTCATATAAGTAGTAAACCATCGATTTGAAGACTAGACCAGGGTCCTGATTGTAACCAAAATTGTACTTAGTCCATCTTTAAACACATTGTCATGCAACATCAAGAAAATGGTCTGTACCTTTTTGTGCTGCTCAATGACTTTTTTACACTCAGGGTCAGTCAGCACCCCCTTGTCACTCAGCTCATCAACCAGGTTGGTGGTCAGCTTGTTCAGTGCCTCTCTCTGCTCTTCTATTGTGGCAAGCTGAACAAAAACAACGCTGGGATTAGGACCTCAAGCTATTCATCTGTATTATGCCTATGTTATTGGACCTTATGGTAATAATGGCCCTGATAAATTGTCACCCTGTATTAGTTGTATTACTTTTTCAACTTATCAAACCCCAATACTTCAGATATGTCTTGAAAACCTGGGTTGGAGCTGTACTCCCAGATCACACATCTTATTTGTACAATATGCAGGAAACACTGACCTCTCGAGCCCGCTCCATCTGCAGTGCTGACAGGAGCCCTCCCAGCCGCTCCTCCTGGTCCTTCAGGGCCTGCGCTCGCTCCTGGAGCATCTCCACACGGATCTGGGCAGCAGGGGGAGATAACATTAGGGGTAAGCAAAATGTGCAAAATGAGAGCTAGAGTGGTGTTGGTGTGCATTGATAGCATTCAGCCATAAGGACAGTAGAGTTTGTGTGAGTGGTATCTAACACATGCAGAAAGGGTATTCGGCACCATAGGAAACTGGTAGAAATGGTCTTCAGATCAACAGAAGTTTTTTTAAATGCTACTCAGCACTAAGGTCAGTGTACTTAGCATTAATGGTAGTCAGTATCAAGGGCAGGGCTAGTAAATGTTTGTAATATTCATTGCCAAGGATGGAGTAGATAGTGCACATAGTTTTCAGCACCAAGGACAGTAGTGTTACAGTGGAGCCAGTAGAACATAGATATTTGGTTTAGTGTTCAGTCTGAGGATACAATAGATAGTGTGGATAGTATTCAGCACCAAGGACAGGGAGCATAAACAGTGATCAGTTAAACATGGACATTGATACTCACAGTCTCCATGTCGTCATCCGTCCTGGCCTGACTCTCCTCGGACAGCAGACTGATCCTCTCCTGCAGCTGCTGCTTCAGCAGCTTCACATCGTCCTGCTCACCCTCCGAGTCACTGCCACGGTAACGCTGACGCTTCTGTTGGGTCAAGGTCAGATGTTAGCAAAAATCCCCCTACTTCAGAAACCCTTCAGAATCACTAGAAACACACAACTTGTATGCTTTTTGTCCGTGAAAGTTGTTGGCACTGAAGGCATTCAAAGACACACAGTAACTTGCTACCTTAATTTATCATATTTGTATTTTGACAGTTGGAAGATAAATTGTTTCTAATGATGTGTAAGTGTCCGGTATAAAAATATACACCTTTTCTTGCTTGATTTGTTTCTTCTGCAGTTTCTCCATGGCTTTGGCTCTCCTCTGGGCCAGCTTCTCCTCCAACATGCGACGCTGGTGGAGCTTGTTCAAGGTCAGGTTGTTCTCAAGTGTCGCCACATTTTTCTCATGTTCCCTCAGAATCTTCTCCTTGTCCTCTTCAGAGATGGCTGTCTGTGCATTGATCAAGTGTCTGAAAATAAAAACAAATTCAACTGAATAACGGTAAGTCTGGATATCATACCCATGCTTTTTTTGTTGGGCTCTGTCACATTACTATTGGTGGGGTTTTCAATAAGTAGGGGCAGACACTTCACAATGAAAAACCATAGAGGCTACTGAACAACTCGAGGTCAACTTACCCCACAATTTTCTCCTCCCTGGCCCGTATCTTCTCCTGCTCCTTCCTCTCCAGGTCTGCCCTCCTGGCCAGTTCTGCTCTCCTCTCCTCCAGACGACGCTCCAGCTCCCGTGTCTGCTTCCTCTTCTGCTCCTGGTGGACCTCCTTCAGCTGCTCCAGCTCTCGCTGGTGCTGAGCAAGAATCTCATCCCTTTGCTTCTCCTTCAGTCCTGAAGTTATTCAGAGATATGAGCTTTGTTAGATTCTCTTACTCTCTTCTTCTATCTTTCCTGAGCTACTATACTTATGGTGACAATGGTGAATCTTTCATTATGAAACATATTCAGCCTTTTGCATTGTACTTTGGTTGACCTTTTCTCTGCTGTGAGAAAGCTAAATACCTACTTGTTTTAAGCAGATGGCTTTCTGGTAAAAGGAGCATTAGAGGTTTATTCTTTCCTCCAACTAAGAAAAAATTTTGAATGAATTTAAAACTACATGTATGTATTGAGTTCTGCAACACACCAGCACTTCCTAGTTCAGCACACAGCCTGCCCTTGAACATCACAATCTCATCCTGGGCTTTCTTTGTCAGGTCAAAGGTCAGGCTGTCCAGCTGGTCTGAGGCATCCTTGTCCAAAGACATCTCTAGGTCGTTCATCTCTGTGACATGGCGGGACATCAGCTGGTGACGTGCGTCGATGTAGTCATCAGCATCTGAAACAGACATTGTCATTGGCTACATTGTGTATGTTCTCAAAACTGAAATTGTAACAATCTTTACAAAGTTGTCACAGAAAAGTTGTATTGATACAATAAATGGATAAACTTTCATCGTGGTTTTGTTTTCATGCCTTTTGTGGTGACCTCTCCACCATGAGTTCATGACACCATGGATTGTTCTACTGACTGTACTACAGGATTGTTTCACCCGTGAATTCAAAAATTGCTAAACAACATCAAGGGGGTTAACATGGAGCATGTTTATAACAACTGCACTAACCTCCTTCCCCCTCACTCTGCTTCTCCTGTTGTTTCTTTTCAAACTCCTCCACTTCTTGGCGCTGCTCTGCCTCCTTTTCTGCCAGTCGCTTCTTCTTGAGCTCAGCCAGACGTTTCTGGAGTGCTGCTTCTTGTGACTCCCTTTCCTTATCATGCCTCTCCCTTGCAGCAAGCATCTCTCTGCGAATCCTCTCTTTGAACATTTTCTCCTGCTCTACTGACAGCTTTCCATCTCTGAGTGGGGAAAATCACAAGTTGTTTTTCTCTGTATAAGTAAAATGCTCTTTGCAGAATGAAAGGGATGAAGACTAAGAAAAAGACTGATTGATATTGTTGTATGTCCTGACCAAATATATCAGCATGACTTACTCTCGCATTTCCTGCACAATGCCTGCCTGCTGTGTGGCCAGGGTGTTCAGCACCTTTTTGTTGTGGTCTTCCTGATGCTCCTGCAAATGTGCATTCAGAAATGGGTTGGAATAGATTTAATCTCAACTATAACTCAGTAGCTTCATGGTGAGGAGTAAGTACAAATAACTACAGAGAAGAAGCTTTCATCCCAGCCACTGTTCTGTAGTTACGTACCTTAGCCTTTGCCATGGCTCTCCTCTGGGCCAGCTTCTCCTCCAGCAGCATCCGTTGCCGTGACATCTCCTCATCCATCAGCCTGTTGATGGTTGCCTGGTTCTCCTTATGTTCCCTCATGATCCGTGCAGCCTCCTCCTCTGACAGCTCAGCCTGCTCGGCCAGGTCCTTCAGAAGGTTGTGCTGCAGCTCCTTTAGACCGACCCTCTTCTTTAACTCAAACTCCTGGATGGCAGAAGAAATGTCAAGACATGAAGGATTTGTTGAAATCTACAATTTGTGATTTTTTTTGCACAATGTCATAATGTAAAGTGGCTAAATCTGGAAAATATGTTAGTGACTAAACTTCACCCCAGACAATAGAAACATGGATACTGTAAATCACAAATCTTTTGCAGTGGCTTTATTTTGTAGTTGGAGGGAAATGGAGGTTTTCCAAGTGATCACAGTTGAAACAATTCTGTAGTACAGTAGTCATAATATCTTGCAACAAAGTTTGCAGTAGAGACACCACAGCAAAAAACGTGGAAATAAAACCACTGCAAAACTCTAATGATTTACAGTACACATTAACACTTCCAAACATCCCCCTTCTGACCTTCCTGATTTTCTCCTCCTCCTCTGCCTGTTCCAGTTGTAGCCTGTATGACAGCTCCTCTGTCTCCACCTGGTGCTGTTGGTCTAGCAGATTCATCAGCTCCCGACGTTCCTGCTCAGGGGTGTTGGTTGTCTTGTCAATCAGCTGCTTCCTCTCTTCCTCGTGCTTCTTGTGCAGACTGTCTAATTTGTCCTGATAAGTAGGAAAGATAAAGAATCAATGGATAAGCCAATTGCAAAAATTAATCAATCTTGAAGTTTTTCCTGACAGGAAAATATCATACATGTGGATGTAAAGAATTAAATGTGCTTTGGATTCCACCCCTCTCCGGGGTGCTGAAACACTGGCTGTTAGTCAGGAGGCACTAGTAGGTAGGGATGTCCTCCTTTCCTTCTGTCTACTTTTTGTTTCATTTACCTTGTTCTTAGCTGCCAGCCTCTTATGGAGCCTGCTCAATCCTTTCTGATACTCATCGTCCAAACGTCTGCAAAGGGCTCTCCATGCCTTATTGAACTTGTCCTGGATCCTGTCAAGGAGAGGTCTGGAAATCTCTCCTTTGTGCCTGTGGAAAACATATACATCTTAGAATACTTAGATCCATGAACTGTAGTTAAGGAGTACATTGCATTCATTCTCCTTATCAGACTGGAATGCTACTTGAGAGTGTTTCTAGAAGCACCTAGGATGGAAAATCAATGTTTGCTATTCTTTCGTATACTAATTCGAAAATAAGAAAGTTTTCTGTTCCATCAGCTACCATACCTTAGTTTCTGCAGCTGTATGTTGATGGAATTAATCATCAACTGAAGACGATGACTTTGCAGCTTCATGTCAAGGTCAATGGATGATTTGATATCCAAACTGGAGTTCATAAAAAAAGAACATGTATCATCAAAGGAATGTTACACTCTAGAAGCTCTTAGTCCATGGCAATTGCACATGCAATGTCAAGCAATAATAGTTTAAGCACTCAAATCCTTCCTCCCTTCCTGTTTTCATATATAGTCTTCAACCAAACAAAAGCTGTAACAGCAGGGCATTTTGCACCTACTGTAAATGTATAAACTGTTGTGGCAGTTTTATTTTTGTGGTTTTCACAGTGACTTCTCAGCTAGGAATTTATAACGAATTTAAAACATTGCAAAACATCTCTTTCCCCCCCCCTACTGCAAAATACATGTATAACCACTGCCAAACTAAATGCATTTACAGCACATAAAGTGTTGCATTTCCCATTTTGAAAGTGTTACCACTCACTTGTCCAGCCACCTGAACATCTTACTGATGTCCCTGAAGGTGAGGATGGAGGCGAAGTTCAGCTCTCCAAACCAGGAACCAAGACCCTTCAGTCTGTTCTTCAGCCCTGAGAACAGGCCTCCCTTTTTCTTCTTGCTCCTCCCACGCTACAAGTAAAAGTGGTTAGGATGCTTTCAAGTAAGATCAAAGTCCAAAAAATAGCCAAATAAGACATTATACCACATCTAATTCAGTTATACAATTATTATCTCAATATGACAGAATCAGCAATGAATTCACCATATTGAATAAAACAAGAAATTCACAGAAACTCAAATGATCAATGGGAGACCAATATATATAAAGACTGTAATGTTGTTCACGTTTTGTTACATAACGCTTCACAGTTACCATTGGTCGGACTTGTATGCCCTTTGCCTTGTACAGTATGAAGCAGCACAGGATGCCGACAACGATGCCAAACAGCAGGAACACAATGAGAGCAAGGCCTATGTAACCGTAGTTACGGAACAACTGGAAAAAATGGGCAGAACAAACATGTGAGCAAGGGAGGGACAGAAAACTGCTAAGGATACATGATCCAACTTGAATTTTAAAAAAATACTTTTATACTGAAGATAATTTTCTATACACACAAGTAGTATAATAAGAAATATTTTGGATGCAAATATTTGATGTGAATGCAAGAAGAGGGGGCATCTGTCTCAACAAGTTTTCATAATACTCCATATGTCATAGTAACATAACGCATTCTATCTCATTTCTATCTGCAATTAAGAAATCTGAAAATAATATGACTTGAGGTCTGTAGTACTGTAGGTATATTTATGTACAAAGAACATGTTGAAGAAAGAAAACAAACTTACACTGGTGATCTCCACTAGGTTAAACCCAAGACAGATGCTGTCAGTGAGAGGTCCATAGTCTATTCCCTGGAACTAAAAACAAACATCGATACATCAACATAAATATTATCATCTATTAGGTGCTACATTGGTTAACCTACCTTAGAACAAGATTTATCTAGTTTATTTTACAGATAGCATTATTGTTACGAATATCCACAAGCTAACTTATTCTTAAGGAGCAAGTTGTAATAGTTTGGATCTCTGAAGCCTAAAAAGAAAACAGTTGATAACCTGTGAACTGTTGGCTGCCTGCTGTACTGCCACACTCCTGTAGGTGACATTAGCAGGGATGGTAAGGTTAGGACTGTTCTCTGCACAGGTCCGCTCCTTACACACCAACTCTGCCTGGAAGGACAGAAGCAGCTCCTCCCCCACTGAAACAAATCAGCAAAGTGATCAATCAATCCATCTAGAAAACTTTCAACAAGTTAATGTCAGCTTACCTAGCTGAAAATTAACTGACATAAAGGGCTCAGCAGTAATGTTTATGGATTAATAATGGATGACCACTTTATTGACAGGATTTTGAATCAGACTAATGGTCAAATATTCAAATATTCATCAAATATTCAAATTGAGAATATTTTGGGAGAGAACATCTGGGGGGTTACTGCTCAACAGTTCCTTGAGACAGCTGAAACCAACTATTGGACAAATTGTAGCTTACATGGAAGACGTGTCCTTGTCACTGTAATCTCTGACCCTTGTACGGTGATCTCTGGTGAAACAAATATGGGGATCAAGTTCCTGTAGTTGAAGATGGTCAGTCCTGTGGCATCGCAGAAAATGGTGACATCAAAGGCATCTGCTGATGACTGGGCAGTGTGGCTAACTGTCACATTGATGCGTACCTCATCTGGGTTTGTGCTGTCATCTGCAATCTGTAACAGAGAGGCATTTCAAACGTGAAGCACATGTACTTACAAAAGAAAAAAGGGTTAGAATTGGCCCCAGAAAGAAGAAAAAAGTTGTCATGATGATGTAAAGTTTTTTTTTGCTAATAGGCAATTAGTTCTCACTTTTATTTTCTAATATTACAGATTGTTTGTTGGCTTGTTTGATGGTTTAGTCATGAAATATCCAACTTGGCCTCCTGAAGGCTGTTCATTGAGGCCATGAGGGAAGAAGTCACAAAAAACAATTGAAGCAAAATTTGATGCACTGATATTGCTCAAGTAGCACACTTAATACATACCTGTACTGTTTGATCCATTTGGAGCTCTGGTTGTCCCAAGACAAATGTTCTTGTTCCCAGTGGAATGGCTGTTCCTCCTGCAGTGAGTGTGGCTGTGAGACTGAATGGTACTCCATTCTGTACTTGTGTTGGGTCCAAGTTGACCAGGTAACTTACCTATGTGTAAGAAATATAGGATGTTGTTGTTGTGTGTTATTTCTTTGTATTTAAGAAAAACAACAGAAAAATTAAATATCGTACAAAAACCATCTGGCCCACAAAACGTTTTCAAGATAACCTTGTGATAAAAGAAAAGTTTTCTTGATTTTAAAACTTTCAAAGTAGTGTACCATTTATTTTACAACAACTCTTCTCTCCTGAATCTTAAGGTTTTAGTGAGACCGGAGATTTCAAGTTAAGTGTATCATCATTTCAGTGATCAGAAAGTCGGCTTTTATAGACGTCAGATTCAGCTTAGGCTTACACTGCAGTTCCTATTAAATACCACAAAAACCTGACTGTAAATGTTGTACACATTAACCTACCAGCATGGATACTGATGTGTCCACTCCCCTGGCATTCACACTGCTTGGGTAGACGATGTCGCCTACATCCCAGGTCCTGATGATGGGGACAGATGCAGGGATGAAGATTTGTCTCTTGCGACGTCTTCTGTTTTGTGACAGAAGATCTACTGGGGCAACATTACTGGCATAAGTCACGTCTTCACTCTGGGGTAGATCTCCTCGTACCAGCAAAACATCATCAGGATTGAGGGCAGCAGACTGGAACTCTGGAAAATAAATAGAATATACATGTATGTTAGAATCATTCAAATTGTGACACCCATGTTTTTATTCTAGTCTTGGTTTAAGACTGTCTTAGGGGCAACAAAACCAATTAGCACTTCACTTTTGATTAATCCAATCTTTGATCATCTGTTTATTACATGTAATATCTCTTCAGTTCAAACACTCATAACTTTTTTGTTATAACTTTTACTTGAAAATGATACTTGTTGACAAAATTTGGAGCAAACATAGCATAAAAATCTGACGACTAATGAACACATCCAAAATGAGACACAAACTTTAAGTTACATGTGACGAGATACAAAGTGTCTGACTGTTTGATTTTCCATTTTGGCTGAGAAACAATGAGTTATTTTGTTGGAACGTTTTCAATCATTCAAACTGCTTCAGTCTGGCTTCCACAACCTAATCAATAATTCAAACTATAAATGGCAGGGATGTCGTATCAAATGCACCTGTTCAGCAAGAGGGAGATAAACATGCCAATCATCTAATGGACATGCACGTCACAACCTTTCCATATACATTTGTAAAGGACCATCAAAATATGATGGATACACGTAGACATACTTGTAGACATAGACATCACAAAATAACAGATGTGAGCATTTTATGCTGTAAAAGGTCCAAAGCATGAGTCCAAAGCACTCTACCCAGTCCAAAATCAATCTGCAATATTCAGACTCACCAGGTATTATTTACTAGTATTTCAAGGCAAGTCATTGTGACAGGATTACCGGTACTGTCACTATGATAATACATTGCGTGCTTGCGACAATAATATGTTGTGCTGTAGATAAAAGCAATTGAGTTAGTGAAATTCTTTTATGATGCTAAAATTCTTGAAGTCTGTATAAGAGTTGCATAGCCATTTGAACAATATTAACAAATCAAGTGAATATGAATGGTAAAATGTGAGTACTAAGTTAAACGTTAATGATAAAAGTTGAAGGACACTATGGTTTGTAAAGATTGGCACTGCCTAGTTTCCTCTTATCCTGGAGAGATGTATGACTGTATAGTGTCAATTCTAGCATGACCAGTTCAAATACAAACACTGAGTCAGCTTGAATATTGCTAAGGTTTTGTATTAACCATGATAATATTTCAAGTGGACTACACTTGTATCACACTGCTGCAGGGTCAAATTGTCATTTGTTTTTTTCCCAAAGAAATCCTCTTTGCTGCACATAAAGCCACCCAAGGCCACTCATTAGCTCTGTCTCTGAGTTTCTATGAAAGCAATTTAACCTTGTTAGTCATGTTTACCTATGTTTACATGCCATTGCCAGGACAACAGCTTACCGATAATGAAGGCCGCCACATGCCACCTGTGCATTCAGCATAGCAAGATTATGTACTGACGGGCTGCAGTGAGCACTATAATACTGGTGACTATTGAAATGGTTCTCGGGTGAATCTTACTCAAAATGTGCAAAGAAAATGAATAAGTAGCACCTTGGGATCAGCTATTAAGTCAATCATATTTATAATATATATGTGTGTGTGTGTGTGTGTGTGTGTGTGTGTGTGTGTGTGTGTGTGTGTGTGTGTAAGAATGCAAGAAGTACAGTTCCAATCCCACCTCCTCCTCCTCTCCTCTCCTTCCGTGACCTCAGAGGTTCCAATACATTAATAAAAACCAAGCAGGTTAAAATTGAATTGAACAAATCAATGCCTTAATAAAAAAACTAATAAAACACTTCAGGAAAGTCTGAAATATTTGATTTCTTGTTGATCTTGAGATTAAAACTTACCTAATTCCAAGCTTGCTGCAAGTGTCCCATGTGGCATCAGAAAAGTTGTAATCACTTCCACAACTTGGTCGACCCCAACGTTGTTCTCCACATTCAAAGTGAACTTTGTCTGGTCGTTGAAAGTCAAATCTCTTGTTGCCTTTGACTTTGAGCCCCAAGCCTCAAGATTGTGACCTAAAAGGAAATAAGGAGCCAGAAACACCTTAAAAATTTGCCTTTAGTTATCCTTTCAGAAAAAGATTAGTACAATAATCTTTGTGATATGAATGAACAACAAGCCATGCATGATACATGTCCCCATTCCATATTGTCTGGTATGTAGATCTTCTGTTTTATAATTGCTTTCAAGAAGAAGCAATCCCACAGTTACCTTTTCCATGCCTTATAAGTATATAGTGCTGTATCTGTATCTGCATAACCTGTGTAAACCGCCCTTTGGCATAACACACCAGCTGTTATGGGTTTATTGCCTTTATAGTTATAAAAGTCATTTTTAGATTGGAGTTGTTTTCAGATACAGTATTATAATAATATTACATCTTTTATGGCTGAATTACAAGCTAACAAATGTGAAGATTTCAGAGTAACGAATCTGGCCTGTGAACACATGGGATGGGATGCAGGCAGAATCTTCAATAAAGCCAAATGTAAATCTAATTACCTTCCAGGTCCACATATTTAAGTTGTAAAGACAGCTGCACATTACTGTTGATCAGTAGCCCATCAAGTGCCTCAAACCACAACAGGATGGTAACAGTTTCTCCCACTGGCAGCAGGTCAAAGTTTAGGTTGCCTCCAGAGTTCAGCACATCGGTGGTGTAAGACTTGTTGTAAGGGCTACTAGACGTGGAGACTGAGGATGTGACAATTGTAGCTGTCGTTGTGCCTCGTGGATTGATGTTTCCTCCTAACTATAGAGCCAAGATATAAAATATGAAAATAGTTTAATGGTTTTAAGGTTAGGTAGTCATTGTATGTCATCAAATCATGCAGTCAAAGCTCGAGCAAGTTAAATAGGAGACAGTTTGAAAAGAAAGTGAACTAACATTTCTCATCCATTTTCATAAAGAACAATTGGCATTTGGTAGAGACAGTACAAATCTTATACAGACTGTCTAGAAGTATGTATACTGGTATCTTCCACTTGTATGTCAAAACCATGCAGTTGACAAATCAATTTTGGTATCGCACTCAGAGTCATTGGACAGAAGTTAATGTCAGGATAAATAGGACAGCAAATGGCCAATAAAAAGTGGGAGCTCAAAATGGGATGTATGACAAAACTAAAACTTACCATCATGTTTGTTGCATTTTCCGTAGAAAGGCTTGTATGTTGCAATAAAACCTGCAGATGGACTCTATCACCAGCTTCTATTGGTCCAGAATTATTAAGTTCCGTGAAAGTAATCTCAAGTTGAGGACCAATCACTATAAACGATGTATTCACAGCCTGAACAGTTCCATTTGTGGTTGGAGTAGCTTCAAATGTCAGAATGTCTTGAACATTATTATAAGAAAGAACTGTGAAAGGCGTAACTATTGTGATGTCCTGTGAAGTTGCAGCTCCATTTACAACATTACCAAAATCAAAGTAAATGTTCTCCTCATCTGCACTTGTCGTGATTTTCGTTGTGGCACTTTTTGACAAGTCATTGCCATATGCAATGACACTATCATTTCCATCCATAGACACATACAGGGTGATACCGTACGTGTCATAACAGTTTGTAGTTAGCTGCTCCTCTGTAATATTGTGGGTGCCATTGAAAGAAGTGACATTGATCATGAGTGGGTCACATTTACGGTACGTGTAGTTTAGATGGGGCAATGTGAGTTCCAAACTTGCATCAGCCCCTCCAGCAGGAATGGACACTTTGGTGGTGATGTTGGCACTTCCAAGGCGATATACTCCAGGATGGTTATCAAAAGTGTACTGCGTCTGCACATCTAAATCTAATACGACATTTTGTGATGATGCCTGGAACCACAAGCATTGGAAAACACAAGCTGCCAGGCATAGCACAATGATGCCTGTATGTCCTCTTATCTTTACAGCCATGATCCTTAAAGTCACTTGGCAGTCAATAAAAAAGCACTTAGCCTCAAACAAGTAAAACTATTACGGGAAGACAGTTTTACAATGAAGCCCAACTGATAGGTCTAGTTGCTGAGGAACCTATGGAATTGAGCAAACAACTAGGAGAGCTGATTTCAATATAGTGTTAGGTAGCTCTGTTTATAATAGGCCATAAAACTATTTTAAACCTAGCTTGTAAAAATGAACAATTGCTATCAAACTGAACAATGTCAGACTACATGGCGACATGAACAGGTGTCATCTGATACAGGTGCGTTCTTCCATGTGCCAGGTACTTTGCATCACAGGTGACAAGCGCACCTTGGTACCGACTCATATGGCACACCACTCTGAACACCTGTCATGGATATCTACACTTCCCTGAGTCCCAAGTCGTGAGGAATCCTGTAGTTTCGTCCACACTTGCACTTGTCCGTTTCCTTAGCCCAGCAAGAATTTAAATCGAGTCCTTATCAGTCGGTGTAGCCAATATCGTTCCACAACACGGTTAAACAGAGGAAAAACATTTTCCCTTCCGTAATAGCAGATTGACCTGCAGTTTCAAGACGTTCCACTGATATGAATGGATTTTAGGCGTGGCTTTGTGGGGCATATTGAAACCGCCCCGTCGCTATAGCTACCAGGTACAACAGCGGTAAAGTGTATCATTAGGCGATACCACCACAAAGGGGTGCAACTTACACATACTTTGATTGAATTATTCTTTATTCATACATATCAGACAAAAAGTTAGGTTAGTTTCAACTAATTATGAAACTGATTTAAAACAAAGCTACTTTACGCGACAACGCCGAAGAATTTTGTCTTGTTTTCCTCTAATCTTAGGAAAGCATTGATTGAAGATGTACTTTGCCTTTCCCGGCCCCGAATGGTTATTACCCAATGCGTCAGGGTCTTACGTGAGGTCACCATAACATGTAATCCCAGTTGTAAAGGTGTATCTGAAAACCTTGTCTGTATTCACGGAATAATCAACCAGCTGTCGTGTTAATTACAATGCCTGAACCAGAATAATTTCACTTCGTCAGCACAACCAAGAAACCACTAGGACGTGTAAGATCGCCTTTACAATCGCGTTTGTGAAGAAGTCGTCGGAAGACAAACATGACGGAGCCATGCCTGCTTGTCACCCTGGATTACTACAGGGGTTACACCGAGAACGTGGACGGCGGGTTGGTGGCCCTAGGAGCGATCCTGGGGTTCCTGCTAGGCGTTCTTATCGCTGTCGTTATAGCCAAGTGCTGTATGTTTGACCTGCTTAGCGCTAGGGTAAGTTCACTTCAATTTCTAGCTGTTGTTTTTTTAACAGGTGTGTAAACTGCTTTCTGACTACTTAAATGTCCTCATTGTAAATAATGTTGCGATGATAATCGATGCATAACCAACACGAGATGTAAGCCATTAATATTATGTAAAATTCATTCCTTTGACAGTCCAAAGACCAAGGTGAAATTTTACTGCTGGAGAATGTGGTAGAGCCTGAAGACTTTTCAGATGAGGAAGAAGAGCAGGAAGAAAAGAAGAAAGAGGTGATGATACTGAGTACCAATCATAACTGTTACAGTTTTTCACAAATGGCACTGGAAATGTCATTGCCACATCAGGTTACTGTTGTTAGTTATCAATGGCTAATAGAACTGAACTGCATATTGCACAGTCTTAGTTTTAAGCTATACAAGATGATTTGTTTGTAACGTTACAGGTGTTTTTGCTTTTGCCCTGCACTTTGCCCCATATGAGATCAAGGAATTAAAGTTCATGTAACACATTTTATTTACTAGTTTGCACTTTTATGTTGTACACAGAAGGAGGAACATAAAGATCCTGACCAGCTGTCTAATGTCTCTTTGGTAAGTTTATCTATAACCTGAAGAAGCAAGTATCTGTGTAGACTTTGATTTGTTTCCACACCTGCATTAATTTTGAAAAATTCTGTTTCACCATTTGGTGAGAGCACTTTAGACGTCTTAAGAAAAGTAAAACATCCAAGGGCAATATCTAAACCACTAACTTAAATTCTAGCAGCCAGCTGATGCTGAGAGGAAAGCCAGGCCGAGTCCCAGCACCATCAGCAGAGACTCCGGTCTGTATGACATGGACGACCCGCTGTACTCAGACAGCCTGGTGGTGGCTCTCATCAAGCCTAAAAGGTAATTGCAGCTAAGCCAAATGCATCTATAGCTTTAATAAATATGTTAATTATGTAGTGAATCCCTTGTAATACTTATAACGTTACATGTATGTGGTTAATATGTGGTTAGATGTTTAGCTTATAGCCTGTTTAAAGTTATCAAATAAACAAATGTTTGTCTTGCATAGTCTAATGGCTTACTGAGTTGTTGAGAGGCAATTAATGAAGTTATATTTGATGAAGAACCAAATTTGCAATGTTGTATGGATTTGTTTTAGGAGAGTGGCATATTTTTGAAAACATGAAATTCTCAGTACCCTTTTTGAGAGTTCTCTTATTTAAGTGTCAGTAAAATGCAAATGTTAGTTTAAAAGGAGATGTCAGTTTTGACTTTATATGAATTGTTTTACAGCGAGGATATGGACAACGAGCTCCGCTCCCAAGATTTCCGAGCCACAGTCCAGCTGGAGAAAGAACTGAGAGAGCAGAAGAATAATGTGAGTTGAGACCTTTGCCCTTTTCATCTTGTAATTTGTGACTTAAAAGTCTTACAGTTTGTTCTTGAAAAGCTTACACCCAACCAATTTGTCATTTTGGAATCTCTGGGAAGATTATTTCCATGGTGCTGATTGTTGTGTTGCTATGACAACAGCATTCTATTGTACTGTAAATGCATTTACCTAAAGTTTGTGGTTTTATTTCTCAGCAGGAGGGAAAATAACCTGTGTATTTTTCTTAACAGTCCTTCCTGCAGATCTTACGGATTTTCCTGAATGGCCTCTTCTTCAAGGAGAAAATTGACGAGAAACAGTATCGTAACATCCTGACTAAGCACGAGAAGGTGTGTGTCTATTTGTATTCATCATTCAGCAATACTAATATTTTGAGATTGAAATATTAGATCTGTTGTTGCAGATGTCACTTTGCTTACTTGTTTAGTATTTTAACACGTTAAACTTTACAATTTTCCTGGAACAGAAGTATTGTGTTGGGTGGCTGAGTTGTAGGTTTGTTTCTTTGTCCAAGTAGCAAAGGTTGATAATGGGAGTTAACATTGACATTGATTGATAGGGAGGTGATCCAGCATACACCAGGTGGGAGTAGGTCGGTGGTATGTGGAGGAATTCAGGAAGCGGTGTAATACCAGCTTGAATTAATGATTATACAATCACAACCATAGTTCCAATACATTCAGGAAAATCCCAAACATTTCCTGGAGGTCTGTGAACTAGATTATAAAAAACAAAAAAAGAAAGTCTGAAATCTCTGATTTCTTGTTGTCTATGATCAAACAAATCTGTTGTGTTTGCCCACCAGTCGATCCAGACCGGAGAGGAGGAGATCCGAACGGAGCTGCAGCAGGCGGAGGAGGAGGTGATGGCTGATGAGAGGCTGCAGAAGGACCCTGTTGCCATGCAGGAGGCTCTGGAGAAACTCCACCCACAGTATGTCCAGAGGATGGTCAGTCACTTATTCATTTCCCAAGATAGATAACAGGATTTACTAATTAAATGAAAAATGATTCATCTATTCATTTATTTATTTGGCTGGTATATATACTGCCAAGGTTGTCAAACTAGAGAAGCAATTTTCAAAGGTAACCTTTGAGGAAATTTAACATGGCATACATTATCAATATGTTAATAAGAATATAATCATTGTCACATTGTGACTTTGTACTATGTTTATAGTAAACAATTTGTGGCTATTCGGAATTTACCTCAGGTAATTGAAGTTAGCCGATCATGAAAATAATCAGATGCATATCACAAAACAATTTTTTCTTCTCAGAACTCCCTGTTGAAAGAGCAGCAGGAGTCTGTACGACAGGACCTTAGCACTGCTGGATTGCCACAGAATGAGGTAAGGAAGGGTATAACTCTCATAATTCACTATTGACAATGTAACTTACCAATACAACTATTTTGTATTTTACAAGGATTTTAGATCATTTACCATATTAGATGACATGTATGTGGACCCAAATTTTCATACAATTTTGACATACGTTTGTATGTATGTGAAATTCTACAATTTAACATTATTTTGTTACACTTTCTCTCACAGCTAGAGAAAATCATGTCCAAGTTTGTTGACAACATGGCAACAGTGGACAGGCTGATGGGAGAGCAGTTTGCTAGGCAGTCATTGGTGAGTAGCATTCATGGTTTCCAACAATTATATCTCAGTCTTTCTATAGATTTCAACATTGTATCCATGTCATGAGATTTGATGTTTTGCAGTTTCAAATATCACAGGCTGCTATGACACTCTATCTCTTGATGTATTCCCCTGACCAACAGGCCTTACAAGAACGTCTGGCCAAGAGACAGAGGCTGGCAGGAGAACATGCGGCTGCACAGGAGAGGGAAGAGGAGGAGGTGAAGGAACGAATGATCCAGCAGCAAAACACTTTGGACAAACTCTGTCAGGATACCAAACTTCTGGACAAACAAAGGGACAGGTCAGCTTGGGATTCGGATGTTCTATATATATACTTGTGCATTGAACTTCATAAATATGTCCGGGTACAGAGGTATTGCTGTGGGTAGCTGAGGCATGGGTTTGTGTCTCTGTCCAAGTAGGTTGACAGTACATGGGTGGAAAAAAGATGATGACTGGGTTCAACAGTCTCAGAATCTGGCTGGGAGCCAGAGGTTCACTTGGGGGGATTCAGGAAGCCAAGGATTACATACTTCCCAGAAGTCTGAAATCTCTTATTTTTTGTTCTACATGTAACGTTACATGTATTGGATTTATATATGAAAGTGAAAAGGTAAACACAGAAATTTCTCATCATCATACAAATCAAGATTCAAATTCTACAAAATTACCACCATTACTGTCTATGAAGTCAGTTGGTACACATGTACAAACCACTGCACGCGTGTGAAGGTACTTCCTTCAATGATTCCTATCTGTTTTTACATACAGTATCTGGGCACAGTACCAGTCTGACATGCAGAGGGTTGAGGAGAACTACCATGCAGGTGGGTCTGTCAGACTACCTTGTCTTGAAGACTGTTGGAAATTCTTGTAGACCATTGATTCAAACTAGTATTCAAGTGTATTAGAAAGTTAAAAGGTCGAAAGATGACCTCCATTAACATTTATCTGCCGGGTTTCATATTTCCATCACTTTGGAAAACAGGTGTGTTTGAGATAGCTCTAGTGCAGTACCCACAAGGTTTGCACAGTTTAGATACACAGGAGTGTATCATACTGGGGAACATTGCATTGGAGATCTCTTTAGATGCATTTTCTCATAGTGGCTGGTATATCTGACATAGTAGAATTAACTTGGTAGACATATGTGACCTAGTAGAATTGCAGTAGCTGTACATATAGTATCCCATGGGCAAAAGATACATTGCATAACTTGTGTACCACCATCTCCAGACCTACAGGTGCAACAGGACGTGCTGAAGGAGAAGCTGCAGCAGCGCAGGCAGCACAAACTGCAGAAACTGGCAGCTAAGGAGGAGATGGAGAAGGAGGAGCTCAACAACTCAGCTGCAGAGGGACAGACGGATCCCAAAGACTTTGTCAAGGTAGTTATGGCTTAGTTTCCCTCTACAGGGACAATCATATGCTTTTTTCTGTACTTCTGTTTTTCTGCTTATTATGATAGGATCAAGGGCCTTGGCTATGGACATAATTGTTTCAGTTCAAGGCTAAACAAGAAATTTGATGCATTTCAAAAGGTACAATGTATGGTGTGTAAGGACCCGAGCCACCACTCTTGGTCTGACATGGTCTGTTATTCTCTGTGAATGTTTGTTTATTTGACACCCGTAGGCTCAGCATGATGAAGGGGTGTCTCATTCATATGCAAGTTTATCTGCTGTTACCTCAAAGATGACCTAGTTATGATGTAGTCTCATCAGTACACATGTATATCTGACACGATTAGGCGCAGCATGACTTGATGATACAGCAGCAGCAGCGCAGGCTCAACATACTGGAGGAGTTGGACGAGAGTGAGGCTGAGGAACTGAGCATGCTCAAACAGGTAGGTCAGCTGGAAGGCCTTTCCCTGGTGCTGAACATACAGCAGCCCTGCAGCAGGGTTGGTCTGACTTTGATATGCCTCTGCAATTTCATTCTTATGTTACTTGAGACATTGGATCAAGAAATACACTGTATGTGCTTTTAATGCATTTAAGACAAACTACATCTTTGTTGTAGCAACTTGACAGCAGCCGCGGACAGCTGCTGTTGGAGCATGACCAGTCGCTGTATGAGAACCTGCAGGCACGCGCACAGCTGTCGGAGAAGGAAGCCCGCAAACTCATGAAGAAACACCAGCTTCATATGAAAAACTTTCAAGGTATGAATCTGCATCTGTACATTCTTACATCTGTATTGCACACCCCAGGTCAGCCATTGCTACATATGGTATTTACTCAAAGGAAGCTGTGTTAGTCTCAATGTCTGAATTAGTTTCAATGTCTTCAGTGTAACAACATCACCATTGTCCCTCCTTGTAGATCCTGACACACATTAAGCCCTGTATTCATAGTATCATATATCATGTCATGTTTTGTTTTTACAGAACGTCAGGATGAAGAAAGGAAAAGGCAACGAGAACAGCTGGATGCCAAGTTGGCCCAAAGGAGAAGAGTAAGTATCAAATTTAGCTCAGTCTGTGAAAGATAGGTAGCATTTATTACATCCCATTGTGGTTAAAAACATACAAGAAAAGCACTGTCACAGTGGTAAAGTTGACTTTGTTTTTCTTCAACAGAAACTGGAGGAGCAGAGTGCTACGAGCCAGGCAGAACAGAAGATGCTGAATGACCAGCAGGAGAGAGCCATCACCATGTTACTGGACACCCAGGCTGGACTCACAGAAGAGTAAGGATCATATCTACTAGGATTATTACCTCTGCCAAGGGGGCTGTGTTTTAATAGCATAATTGGTTGACAAATTTGCTGATCCATATGATGATTTGTTAAAATTTTCAATAGATTACCAAGGGATTTAAAAAAAATTCTTTTATCAACCTTGTAAATATGAAACAAAAGTGTTACATTTTGACAGTTGTATAGCCAGCCTAACCTTTTTACATCTCCACCCAGAGCTAGAAAACAGATAATGAAGGAGCATGAACAGAACATGATAGCTGTGAACAACCAGCTGCAGATCAGCCGCACTCGACAACAGAAAATGTGAGTTTCTATTTATTCTACTTTATCTTTATCTATTTTTTCTACTGATACATACCATGGTGTAATTATGCAGCCGAGTTTGTCCAACTAGTGGGTAACTATTGTTAAGGGTGGTTATATAAGGATAAGGATAAGAAATTTTTTCATTGACTGAGCATGCCCACCCATTATATCTCAATACTACAGAAGCTTGTTTACATGATAGAAAATGTCAGTCTTGTGCTGTGTTGTATCAGCTCTTTTCTTACTAAATCTTTTCCTTATTTTTTACACAATATGCCAAAATGTGATTTTTAAGCTTGATATTCTTTCTTTAAATTCAATGAAGAATAGCATCAATTGTAGATATTCAAATAAGCAGCAAAGTTGACCACTATAAACTAAAACCATTTTAATTTTCATGTAGCCTGGAGCAGAAGCTTGCCCAGCGCAGAGCCAAGCTGGAAGCCAAGACCAAGGCAAAGCAAGACGAGAAAAAGATGCTGGTGAGATATGGACATAAACTGCACAGACACACAAACCAATAGTTCCCTTCATGGAAGTAAAGACATTGTTTTGCATCATTTGAGACAATTTCAGTGATTACTGATACCCTGGTTCTGATGATTGACAGTTCCCTGTTTCCCCTCTCCAGGAGGAGGAGTATGAGGAGATGGTGCAGCAGCTGGAGGAGGAGCGTCAGCAGGCCCTCACGGAGCTCAGGAAGAGGCTGGCAGAGGAGACAGACCAGGCACTCAAGGTAGAGCACAAGGTCTGCAGCAAAGATATCTGATCTAGAAACAGAAAAGTAGGAAGTACCAGTAGGACATCATTTTGCAGTGGTCAGTCAGTATCGTTCTTTTGTACAACATAAAAATGCAGCTTTGGTGGCGTTACCTGGTGTTCATGTCCTGTGTGTGTACTGTTCAGGCCCAGGATGAGCAGCTGGGTAAGGTGATTGCCCGACTCCAGCTGGGCCAGGCTCGCCGACAGTCCATCATCAGACGTCAGGAGAAGGCCATCAAGGAGCTGCAGGAACAGCTGGTGGACAAGGTGGCCGAGTCGGGACAGGTGGGTCATTTGTACTCTCCAAGTTTGTGTTTTGCCATGCTTTTTATTTTGTTGGCTTTATTTGGGTTTCCTCAATCAGCCTAAAGACTGCTTGGGAAAGTACCTCTATTATACTAGTAGCTGCTAGTCGTCACACTGGTAGTAGTCAAGTTAAAAGTAAGTTTATTGCAGGACATGTGTTTTGTATTTGCTCTTCTCCAACAAGTGTTGATATGAACCTCTCTCAGGTGTCTGACACGAAGACAGAGCGGATCCTGCAGAACCACTACCGGGAGGTGGAGCTGATCAATGAGCAGCTGCAGAACAGCAGGGAGAGGCAGATGAGAGCCCTGCAGGAGAAACTGGAGGTCAAACAGCTCAACAGGCAGAGGTATGTAGGACAAGGGTCGTCCCTCGGATAGGGCGTTAAACAGAGGTCCCGTGTTTGAGGAGAGCAGCATTTTGAGCATTTGAAAAAAACATTGTTGCCATTACATAGTATTATGCATACTTCATTCAACTTATTTCCTTTGTTGGCTCTCCATGGCAGACTTTAAATGTTTGTGTTCCTCATTTTCAGGGCAATTGAAGAGAAACTGGATAAGGAAGAAAAAGAGCAGCTGAAGTATGAACACAGAAGGGGGTCATTGTGAGTTGAACATCTGCTTGTATTCCTTACCTTTTCTTGTGAATATTATTGATTTTTTGCATGATGCAATTGTATTTCCATTTTCCCTGTATGATCTTTTTGCATAGATATGATATTTCTACAAACATGTGCAGGTCTGCGTCTGCTGTCCTGACAAAGATGTTGATGGACCGGCGTCACGAGGCGGCCATGGATGACCTGGAGAGAGAGATGAAGCTGGAGCTGGCCAGACAGACGGACCAACTCAACCAGGAGCTGGAGGAACAGATGAGGGGGGAGCTGGAGGTGAGGGGGGCAGCTTGCTTACTTCTTGTCTAGCCACCTGTACTCTGGAGTGTGGCAGGAAGATGTAGACATGAGGGCTCGCATGCCTTTTTGAGACATAGTAATTCACCATTAATTGTAGCCGGATGCTTTTATGCAACATAAAGCTTTGTCAAGTTCATTTTTGTCAACTCAAAGATACTAGTAGTCATTGCTCTGAAGACTCATTGGCATATTCTGTAAATGCATAGTTTAATATTAAATAAATAAATGATAAACCGGACAGTGAGTGAGTGAGTGTGTGGCTGTTCTTCACAGGACCGAGAGAAAGACCTGCTGTCCAAGTTGGCTGTGATGGGAAACATGTCCAAAAAGCAGCTAACTGAGGCAGTGGAGGAGGCTGTGGAGAAAGGTCAGTACAAGAGGTTGCTACAAATCTAGAAGTCACTGTGGAACTAGCACTTTTGTCATTAAATTGGAGAACATATGTTCCATCCTTTACTTTTCTGTGTACTCACATAACAGACTATGGAGATGCAAAAGACATCATGTATAAATTTATGTTTGTATGGCCTAAAAAAAAACAAGTTGAATCGCAGTATGTAATTCAGACAGAATTAATCATTGCATATGGTTTTACAGTGGGGGGAAATGCAGATGCCAAGAAACTGACCAAAGACTTGGCCAAGAGGATGAAGCGACCAGGTACAGCTGGGGTCGGGGCAGAAAGGGACGAAGACGTGGATGGTTACAGGCCTCGTCCCAAAACAGCTACAGGTGAGATAGCATCCTGAAAATGTGACAAGTTAAATATGATAAATGCTGCTGTACAGTACCTTTACCCAAGACAATATCTTGGTTTGACTCGCAATCAGGTTTACCCTTGCAAGGCTATTGTAGTCATTTAAGATTCTTGATTCTGCTATAGTAGAAGAACTACTGTACAGAAGACCTACGTAGCCATGGTAATTTACCCAATCAGGTACTGGGTACAATTATATACACCTTACATATAAAATCATTTCAGATCTGGAGCTTCTTGTAGACAATGTAAATTGTATTAAAATATATAATACTTGTTCAACTTTTTTTCTGCAGGGGATGGTTATGACGATGGCATAAGGCCAGGCAAACTCCCTAAGATCAAGAAGAAGAAACCCAAGAAAGCTTTCTCAGATGACTATGATGATGAATAGGTTCATGTAGTTCTTCGTTTGAATGTACTGTTTCATGTAATACATTTATTCAAGGAATCAACAAGTATAATAAACACCAGTAATGTGTGTTCTTGTCTTGTGTCAAATAAATAAAAACCTTGTGTCAATAAACCTCAATGAAGACAATGTTTTGAACATGATCAAAATGATTAACAAAGGTAAAGAAGTAGAAATGAATCTTCTTATATTCCTTTCAGTAGGATATCAATAGGAATATCAGGTCAAACCAACAATAAAGCTTTTACAACAGACTTGTTCTCCTCCATTTTTTTATCGATACAAATTGATTAGGACAGAGACAATTCAGCCTCCTAAAACAAAACTTCTGCAACTAGAAGTAACCCCTAATACTTAAATTTAAGAGAAGCCCAAATCCACATATGACATTGAGAAATAGAGAAGCCCAAATCCACATATAGAAGCCCAAATCCACACATGACAAGCCCAAATCCACATATGACATTGATGAGTAACGGAATGGAACTGGCAAAATCTTTATTTCCATTGATCGTGCCATTTACAATTACCAAATATCTTACTTACAAAATTCATTGCATCAAGCAGTGGATGGAATGGAGCAACGTATCTGGTTCTCAACAGGTTCTACAACATGCACATTGTTGTGACATTCACATAACACATCGTTACACAAATCATTGCCTTCATTATTTAAAGCAGCAAGAGCACTTTCATAAACATCATCATTTTGCAATAATCATAGTGTTAGGTCACATGCAGCTGATAACCTTATCAGATGAAGCAGGAAGTCTGAACTATGTACAATCATGTACATTAAAAAATACATTGTACGTACATTGTACGTGGAATGAGTTGCCTAACTAGATCACAGTTACTGAATTAGTAAGAAATTTCATAAAACATGCCCCTCTTCTGGGTTAGATCGAGTATGTAAGGTATAGATATATATATAATATACGCAGCTATCTATCATTAAATTTTACACGTGGATATATAACAGAGAGACAAACACAAGCAACAACACCCTGAAACAGCTCAACTACATTGCGAAAGACTCTGGGTTACACAAGGCCACCGGTGTCTTACATATTGAAAACACAATACTGAACAGCACGGTTCAAACCCCAATGTTAACATTTTGTTTACCACCACAAATGTGTTGCATGACCTACATGTTATGTACAAAGGTCAAACATTGGTGGAGAGATTAAAATGCACAACGGGTACATTAGACTTGACTTCATTTAAGCTGGCCATAAGTGTATCCAATTGAATTTTCAAATGGGTCAAATGTTTTCCAAAATTTGGTTACTTATACACAGAGACTACCATGTCTTTCTTATGGCACATTCCTACTCTTAGGGCCCAGTCACATGCGTGGTGCAATAGTCATACAATCCCAAACTGATGGTATTCTAGATTCAGTCGTGTACATGGAAGTGTCCTTCAAAATTCTGCTGTCTTGTTATACAATGTAGAAAGGCGGTCTGAGATCCTTGTCGGCAGTTGGTTCGTGTCATAGCCTGCCTGAAAATTCTATGGCATCAAAATTGCACATCGAATGTAACTGTGCCCTTACTAGCCCATTTACGTGTAAGTCTGGGACATATTTGCAACACTTACTGCAGCTCCAGAACTGATGGCAGACTCTTCAGCAACATACCAACTCCCCACTCATTTTTAATCAGGAAATTCCTCACCCCCTACATGAATCTTATGAACAAATGACTAGCCAGGAAGGACATACTGGTTAGAGAAACAGGAAAATATGTCTATGTATTATTTTTTTTACCTATTGAAGCTGTGCACAGCAACTGTTGTTGACATGATTCCTTCAACAAAAATCTACAATTCTCCGAAGTCACAAGGCATTGTCAAAGTGTTGTGATACTTACAAACACACAGATGTCTTAACAAGTTCCCTTTGACAAAATCACATGACAACAATTGTACAATTGTACAACATGTACGTTCCTTTGAGTTGTAACATGCGTAATTCTATTCTTATTGCATCTGTACAGCCTGAACAGAACTGTTGATGAAAACACTTTGCAAAGCATAAAAACATAATGGACCAACAAAAATCATTGAGATGTAAATGTACTAGTAATTAGAAAAACTGCATCCAGAATTGCTGTGAACAAATTGAGAAGCACAACAAAGCCAACAAAAAATTACAGTGCTGTGAACCAAAACATGTATGAACTGTAGACCTGAAAATATCCAGATAGTTTCTGGTTTGTCCTTCATTTTGTAGCAAAAACATCATAATTATCTCTAAACTTGTATACAGAACTTTTTTACATCGTACAGAGAACATTCGTAGGTCTACTAGGAAAATTTCCCCCTATTTGGCACCAGTGGAGTGAGGTTACTGGTAGTAAAATATTCTATTTAGAGAAAAGGAACAATCTGGACTAAAATTATAAAGCAAATTTTTCTCAGCATATTCATTCTACCTTTTAGCTTTGCCAATTGTAGTTTTTCTTTTCAAACAAGTTCTTTAATTGAGTAAGGCAATACACCATCACTTAACCCCAATTCAAGTCACAAGTTAGACAAAATCGGGCTTCAGGTTCTAAAAAAACTCTGTACAAAGTTGTTGCAAGATGGTGAATATATATATTTTCATATCATATCATATATATAAAACTCTAATTGAGCAATGCTGGAATCAGGTGTCATTCTGTCCGACCATTTGCATCTTGGCATAGCTCATACACAGCCTGTGGTCACGTGGGTCTGCCCAGCCTCCGTTGGGCTTCATTGTCTTAATGACTGCAGATTTGTCAAAGCGCTGCTTGATGTAGAGTCCGCTGGGGTCCAGGTAAGGCTTGTTTCTCCTCAGCAGATCCTCCACGTATCCTACCTCCTTCTCCACCTCACACTTGGCATCCTTGTTGGAATGGTGCATTCCACTAAGAACAAAAGAGAAAGACAAGAAACTGGAGATTCCAGGCTTCCTTTTTCAAGTTCTCAAATGTTTGGGTTTTGTAAAAGTATTGGGGCTGTGGTGGGGATTGCATGATGTAATTCAATTATTCAATTCGGGTATTACACTATTGAATTCCTCTACATACTGCCCACCTACTCTCTGGGTGACCATCAGACATGACCCCCATATCAAACAACAGTCAAAATCAATTGCCACCCACACACCCATCCACCAGGCAATCAAACCTATGATGACAAGCAGAGACACAAACCCACAACTCAGCCACCCAGACTTATACTTCTATACCTGGATGTAACAAGAACTTTAGTATAATAAGCACGAAAGGTGCATATGAGAAAAAAGTTTCTAACAACATTTTTTATTTGAGTCATGATGTGCAACAGCAGCGCCCCCTACCATGTGCCGATGTGGAACACCCTTGGTCCCAGGATGACCATGGTGGTCAGGGTGCTGGGCAGACACCTGCCGCTCACGTGCTGCAGGGTCCAGTCCCAGTTGTAGTCATCAAACGTACAGAACTCCTGAAATACATGTACATCATGTCACAATAGATTGCATGTAATGATGTATATCTATGTTTTTACAGGATATTTTAAACCTACCATTAAGTTAAAATTATGGATAAACCCTGACCTTTGAACAGCTCCTGATCTTGGCCCATGTGTCCCTGGTGTAGGCCATGCCCATGTTGTGTTTGGAAGACTGCCATGTGATTACATCCACCTGGGTTAGAGCAGACAGACTTACATTAGATCTCGCAACATTGTACTGTTCGATACTTGGCCCCGAGTGGCATTGTTTATCCTGTGGCTTTGTAGAATCAATAGTAAATGCACATTGTACAGTCATGAAACAAAACTGTGAGTAATGATGTACACATAGTAACAATACAAAAGAACAGGTTCTTTCTTACCATATCTCCTACAGACTGGTAATTAGACGGTCTGTCGTACAGTCCCATGCTGATGATGTCACATTCTGGACACTCACTGCAAATACAAGATTCCCTTTAAGCTAGATGTTTTTGTACCTAACAAAAACACAGTCAATTAAAAAAAAGATATCTATTTTCTAAAACATCACTATTCCCAAGATAGATTTGTAACTTTTAGTTATAATATAAGTGTATTATATATTGCAAATGAGGTCTGCACACACTAAGTGATATACTGGCACATGTACTACAGAGTTACGGCCCTTCATTTTTGAAGCTATATGACTGTACATACCCCTGCTGTAGTTTAGCCATGAGCTCCAGTGTTGGGTAGAAGTCCTGAGAAACAATGTGATCTTCCTCCAGAAACAGGACCAGACCTTTGTGGTCTCGTGTAGCCTTCAGACCCTCAAACACTCGGTGGGCCTGGAAACACAAGTTAACTGGCTGTGTCATCTACATAACTGTAACCAGGGCTCAAAATTCTGGAGGCATATCCATATACTGTGGGTGCTCTTTTGCACCTAAATAGAACTTCACATTCAAACTCTCAGGCTTGTTAGAGAGGTTTGTATTTAGGTTTTGATGACATTTTACTTTATTTTAGCTTGTGCATCCAATTTTTTTTCTGTGCACCTAAATTTCTCAAGTTAGATGCAGCTGTTCCCCCAAAGGAATTTTGAACCATACATTCTGCACATTGGCACAATGAGACAAAGAACCAGTACATTGACTGTGAATGACGTAAGATGTCTGGAACTGGGAAAGTTTTGGAGACAAAGCTATTGCCAATAAACTATCCATCAGGGCTGTATCAAACAAATCAATAATAAGTTGGACGGGTGAGGGAGTGGAGGGATTGTTAACAGTATGAGTAGTGATGTACAAATGTACATGCACTACGTGACAAAATTTTGTACAAAATCATACACAACTACACTTTTGGAAATATAAAACAAACAATTGATAATATATTTATATATAAAACAGCCCTGACTTAAAGCAGTTGAAACTCATCATACCTTCCACCACCAATGGTGCTTGGTCATAGTGAAGGGTGCCTCTCTGTAGTGGCCATACATGTCTGGGTAGGCTGCATTGGTGCACTCAATCTCAAGGGCCCTTCAGACACAACAACACACCACTTGGTAAAGGAAGAAGGTAAGTAGATAGTATACATGTGAAATAGAGAAATCAATATCTGTGGAGCTGCACAGTAGCAGAAGAATCCACTTGTAAGAAAATCAAAATGTGTAGAAGTATTGTTTTGGGTGGCTGAGCTGTGTGTTTGTGTGTTTGTGTGTTTGTTGTCTGGACAGAGCATGTTGGCAACACATTGGTTAAGCGAAGATTGACAAGCAGAATGACAGGTCAACAGGTCAGACTCTGGAAATGGGGTGAAGTTGAATGTCACAAAACCCCAAAATGCTTCCCAGAACAATTTCTAGCTGAACAATGCAAGAACAAGTGCAACAAAAGAGATTAAGAATGAAACAAAAAACAGAACAAGAAAATATTTCTGTTAGGTCAGTACCATGCATGACACCTGGCTACATTAGTCTGCATGTGTTTGTTTGTTGTGTGTTGTTGTTGTTTCATTACTTACTTGTCTCTGGGGATGTCTCTGGGACAGTCATTTGGGTCCTGGCCTGGAAATTCATCCGGATAAAATTGTGATGCAAATGGGAAGAAAATCTGCATCACCTGCAAGTTGGGATGGAAGGGTTGAAAAGTTAATCATATGTAACAAATATATTAGATATAACATAAAAATAAGATCAATAACTTATACCTTACACTGTATCAACTTAAGCCTTGTAGTCTTTCTTTTACAACTTTTTGATGCTTTCTAGTATCAGTGATACACAGAGTTCTACAGTGAACAAAATAGCAGAAATCCAATGGATTCCACTGACCTGACAGAAGTCTATACTTTCTACAATCTTGTTGATTTCTTTTGAGAAGTAGTCGTGGCTAATGATCAGAAGAGCCTTCTCGATGCTCTTTGCTGCGCCGAGGGACTTCACCAACTGTTCCAGGTACTCTGGCCTGTTGTGGACCTGCACAACAATAATGATTCCCTCTTCAGGCCTTTTGGGGAACTTGTCAAGATTGTGGACCTCCTGGTTGAAGTTCACATCATTGATGATGCTCCTCATCTCTTGAACACTGGATGGGTTTCTGTCAGACAGGTTGACAGACTTCTCGTTTTGCTGATGAGCCTCTTCTTGTGGAGAGGAGTCTTCCTCAGGCTTCTTCTCTCCATCCTCCTTCTTAATGACAGACTTGATGTCATTACGTTCCTCAGCAAAGTCCTTATGTTCCTCAGCAAAGTCAATACCCTTATCCTCCTCATCATCGCGAGTTCTTACTTTTTCGTCCTTGTTGGTGACTTTGACAATGTAGAAAAAGGCAGCCACCAGGAGACTGGCCACTATAATCAACTTAAAAACCCGTGATGGCCTCATGGTGATGCTGACTGTCCAGTTTAAAAATTCAAGAAGGTACTAATGAGATCATCTGTTTCTTAGCTGGAAAAAATGAACCATAGAAACTGTTGGTTATAAAAATGTGAAGTTCTTATTTAAAATAAGACTCAACAAACATATTAAAGGACATCTAGTGAACACAACTATAAAGCCTTGGATAATCTGCACAGATCTAGACCAGGAAGGGCAGTACTAAGTGACGAGTGGCCCCAAATAGAAACTCAAATTCCAGCTTTTGAATTTGGCTGAAGGATCTACTAGTACTCAACTTAGTCTACTATAAACTATCATAGAAGGCAACGGTGACAACAGACAGATTTTCACTCTGTAGTTTGACAAAAGAATGGTCAAAAGTCAAAAGGTGTTACCTAGATGTTAGACACAAGGAGAAGACAGAGGTGTCCCCTACAGGTACTCTTTGATTTTCCGTTTCATCTGCTCATCTGTTAGCAAGACAGAGTCATACTTTCCAAAGATCTTGACAGCGTACAGGGCAAGGGATGTGAGGAAACCAAACACAATAATCATAAGGATCATTTCAGATGGCTTAAGGACACACATTTCAGGTGATGGGATTTTAAAGAAAATATTATTTAAAAAATTTACACAATATGCTTACTCCATCCATGAAGCAAGGCCTGCAATGGCAAGAGTACAGAAAGCACAATTATCAACATGCTTTCATTAACTATTAACTAGGATTCCATTAAAAGCTAAAACTAGTCCAATGGTCCTTGACCTACACTGTCCCAGCTGCACGTAATCTTTTATTCATCATTCAGGAACAATTATTTGAACATTGCTCTTCCTGTTGTCTAGTAATTTCGGGGCAGCAGTTTTGCATGCTTTACAGAATGAATTTGTTCACAACTTGTTTTTCTATGACAGTGGACAAATGCAACAACCGTGAAAACCAACCTCCTAAATCTTGTGAAAACATAGGGTATTTACGTTAGAGTGTCCTTTTGGTCCTTTTAAACATGCACCAAATTATTCTGGTGTAACATTGTCTAATAATCGGCGAAATAACCAACAACTGACCTCAAGTTCAAAGAAAGTTCTATCTGTGATGATCAGATATTTTTCTTTCTAGGAAGTTCTTATACAAAATTTTATCAGACAGCTGTTGCATTTACCTCAGGGACGCACAGCACAGTGGGGAATAGGACCGTGAAAAAAAGCGTTCTGGTCGCCGACACTGCATCTGTACACATCTAAGCCGATTTTAACACTCGGCAAGAACGAAAGACATAACGTATGCTACAGAGTATCCTTATACGGATCTTCACTCACCTTTAAAGTCGTACAACTCGTTCATAAGAAGCGAAAATTGCCAGTTTTTGGTGAGACTTTATGAGCTCAGTTGCGCTTGACCACCATCTTGGTTGGGAGTTCTAGGCATGCGCGCACACGATGTCAAAGGTCGTGCTGTACTTCCGGGTTGAACAGGTGAGTTTGTTTGTGTTCCACGTGGCGCCAGGTACGCCCCGTTTACAGGTGATTCACTCCCACACAACGTTGTATAACCTGCGTTGATTGACGTAATGCAAATACTTGTGCATCAGTGACGTCTGTAGGGCGTTACTGACTCTAAAGTTAGTTTGCCGTTGCTAACTTTATGTTATTCTTTTGATGTTCATCTTATTCATCTTCATGAAAAATCAAGTTAACCTGTCAACGTTGTTTTGATCTGTTGCATTTTACAAACGTTGCAAACCTATCTAAAAGCAACAGGGTAGACGTTGGTCAGCTATATATATATATAGACAAAGTTGTATGTTAAAAACTTTAGATAATCAACTACATTGTTTGTTCTTCTAGCGTCGTGTTTGTTTTTCTTGGATTTTGCAAACCAGCGTAATGTTACATGTACAATGTATTAAAATTAGTATGTTTTTGACAGCTAGTTTCATATTCAGGTACAATCTAAATTATTTTGTTATTCAGTTGTCATAACATGATTGGCTGTAAGGTTGCCCCGCCCCCTTTATTTGTAACATGAAATCATTGTCTTTGATGTAGCTTTTTTGCCAAAACTGGATGGCAACCAATCCCAGTTTGGAAATACAACTTTGCACCACAATTTTTTAATTTAAATTATCAGTTTTTAATGGTATTACAACAATGGTAAATGTTGTAGGCTATTCTTGCATATTTTGACTATACTAGGCTGCTAGCCTGTGAAACTCAAGCTCTGGGGAGCTCCCTACATAGTCCGTGCACCCAACAAGGGAGCTGGCAAAAAGCGAGGTTCAGTCAGGCTACTAGGCTGCTATTTCTTCAATGTGTAGAGGAATAACTAATTGATATGAATTGCAGCTTTAAAAGTAACTATCAGTATCAATCAGGTAACCCTTTCCTGATGGCCTTTGCTTTAATACTGATGCAACGAAATCCTTCAACATTCATTGAAATTGGTGGTCTGAGACAAGTTATTTCCCTGAGAATTTCAAAATTGTGTTCTTTCAGTTTTTATAAGATGTCTGATATTCTTGTGGAGGCAGTGAAGGGGGCAGCAGCCCACCCTCGGCCAGAGGGCATCAAGTTTGCCTACGGCACTGCTGGCTTCAGGGACAAGTAAGTTTGAATTCGGTATCCTTACTTTTCTCAATAGAACTGGTAAACATATTTTATCTCAACTTAAAATCCAACCAGTATGATTTAAACAGATTTCCTGTGTTAGGCCTGTATAGCTTAGTGCTATTCATGTCTGCTGCCCAGGTGAAATTAAAGAGAGTCCTTCTGACATTCAGAGCATTGTACTATGTAATCAAGCATCACTTAGCAATAATGAAATTGAGCAATGAATGAGTGTCCCTTCTTTTCTTTCCAGGGCAACCATTTTAGACTCTGTCATGTACCGTATGGGGCTGCTTGCTGCATTGAGGTCAAAGGCTAAGAAAGGTACCAGTCATGTCAGTTTAATATAAAATGAAATTGCATTGAAGGTCTATGTGGAACCCTTTACAATTGTAATGATTGTCACTTGTCTGTTACTGTAGTGTTGAACTTGAAGGCAGTAATGACTGTTTCCACAGTGACAGGGAATGCTAAGGTCCCATTCCACTGATTTTCATAGTTACATGTATAAAGAATCCTATTGGTTCTGGGAATGGGAATGGTTTTCTTGAGTTAGAGGTGTATGGCCATATTTAAAGCTCTTCCAGGAGGGAGCCCAATCAGCCCCTGACAGCAAGTAATTGTATCATCACGGGCTAAACATTAATGTTTTGTTTTTGCATGTGCAGCCACTGTAGCTGCCATGATTACAGCATCACATAACCCTGAGCCTGACAATGGAGTCAAGCTGGTGGATCCTATGGGTGAGATGTTGGAAGCAGCCTGGGAGAAACATGCCACAGACCTGGCAAATGCAAAGTGAGTAATTAATTAAACACCTTGTCTTGTAGTAAGAGGAACTCCTGAGTGGACATTCAAAACATTCAGGCTTCAGTTAATTATGAATACATGTATGTATTTGAAAAAGGATTTGTAATTTGGAAATCAAAAGTTTGTTAAAGGAGTCAACAGCATAAGTGAGATTTTCATTTGTGTGTATGGGAGAGGAAATCAGTCCTGTTTAATATTTAAAGATTAGACAAGATTAGTTTCAGGTGTGTAGACTAACTGCAAGTAGGACATAGATGAAATAATGACAATATGTTTAATTTGAAAATCCTGCATTTAACTAATTACATGTATTGTGGTTTGGTTCTAGAGATGAGGACATTGGATCTGCCTTACAGAGGATCATTGATGCTGTGGACATTGACATCAGTCTTCCTGCAGATGTCTTTGTTGCCAGGGATACCAGGTATACTTAATTCTTCCATCAACTACGTTTGTGTAACAAAATACCAGTAACAGAGTACAGTCACTGCCCAAGAAACCAATCAGGACTAATAAGATCTGGTCCACGTGGAATGGTGATAGCTTTTCTCAATGGGATAAAATCTAAGGGACCACCAAAAAGTGGTCAAATTGAGCAGGTAGTCCTTATGTAGAGGTAGTAACTTGTACAAGTTTGACTAAAAAACCATATGGACATTAACTTCTTAAGTCCTGGAAAATAGATATACTGTACCACTTTATGTGTACATTGCCGTACAATATGACTTTAATATCTTTATACAAATTTGACATTTCACCTGTTTTGTTCCCACAAGGCCAAGTGGACCACCTCTCACACAAGCTCTACTGGACGGGCTGAAGGTCATGGGGTCAACTTTCACTGATTTTGGTACGTTCTTATTTCGTTGTTTTTTACACTGCTTTTTCTTCATGACATTGTTTGGTACTTGAACCACAGGTAGATGGTGTCATTGCTGTTGCGTTATTGAACCAGAGAAATATAGAAGAGTACTAAAGCTTGTAAATTTTAAATAACTTCCATGCAATTTTTTTAATGGAATCTCAGGGATACTGACAACTCCTCAGCTGCACTACCTAGTGCGTTGCCACAACAGCAAGGGTGCCTATGGGGAGCCAACAGAAGATGGCTACTACAAGAAGCTAGCCGAAGCCTTCCTTAAACTGAGGGAAGGTGGTATGTCTCAATTCCATCTATCATTCGTAGCGATGGGAAGATGACAGACTCGAGACGGGATTCGACCGGTTTCGACTTTAATTCAGTCTTTATCAAGAATGACAGAGATCGGACCACTCCTCCTTTTATACTTTTACCGTGCCTATCTAGTGCAGGGCGCTCTGCTCGAGTATTAGATATTGACCAATCAGCATTAAGCATCTCATATTGCCCTGGTTTAGGCTGGAGTTTCAATTCCATCTATGTTTCAGTACATTTCTTCTCTCTCCAAATGTTCACTACTTGTACATAAGTACTGCATACCTGAATGTAACAAAAGGTAAAGGTTACATTCAGGTAAGCAGTACTTTACATGTTGGTTTACATGTTTACCTGTACTAGTACCTGTCCTGTACCTAAACAATTCAAAGAAAGTGCTGATTTCATCTAACATACAATGATTTCATCTTTTGTGATTGCAAATTTTCAACGTTGCTACAAATGCCCAGTCCTCACTCACAGTCTTATTCATTACATCCTTCTGAAAAGGTACAAAGAAGAAGTATGTACCAGATGTGATTCTAGATGGTGCTAATGGAGTCGGTGCACTGAAGACGAGGAAACTACAGGCACACCTGAATGACACCCTGAAGATAACAGTCTGTAATGATGGGTCTTCTGGGAAACTCAATGAGAAGGTACATGTATAGTCCATAGAGTGTGATGATATAACTTCAGTAGTAAACAACAGGGGAGAAGAAACCTCCACCAAGGCAGCAGGTGGCATAGATCAACATCCATGCTAAAGCCTTGTACATGTAGTTTCTACTGGATATGGAAGTTCTGTATTGTTCAGAGTGGCCAAAATTGCAAGTTACGTGTTTCTTGGGTCATCAATGTCCTATGAGTCAGCCTGATGCCATGCATTTGTGAAGAGACTGATTTTTGAACCTGGTTCTGATACCTTTATTTGCAGTGTGGAGCAGACTTCGTGAAGGTACAGCAAATGCCACCAGCAGGTACTGTCAAAACACAGAATCAAATTTTAATTTGTTCCTTCCATTTTCCTGATCTTTTCTTCATGACTGACTTGCTGTAGTTCAAAAATCAAGAGTGTTTCTGTAGGCTGCAGGTATGGATATTCAGCCAGGCCAGAGGTGTGTGTCCTTTGATGGTGATGCAGACAGAGTTGTGTTCTTCTACCTAAACAAAGGTACTCATGGTTTTCTCTGATTGATCTGTTCTAACAATGCAGAAAACATGGTCCTTTATGTAGTCTAAGACATCAATAAGTTAGAAATTGGAGTCATTGTCCTGTACTCTGTTCCAGATGGAGTTTTCAATCTCTTGGATGGAGACAAGATTTCAACATTGGTGAGCTATTCTAGTTATCAGTTACTTAAAGGTGTGCAAAAACAGCAATCATCTTTGACCTTGAAGCCATCTTGTAGTAAGATAACATACGGTAACAATGAAAGCTTGAACATCTGCCTTCTCAAAATCAAGTAACACTCGACATACATGTACAAGTCACTTACAATTGCAAATGAAACAAACTGTGTAATTGCACTATGTTATGGTGAACATCCATTGTCAGAGAAAAACCTTTTGATAGAGAAATATATGTGACATTCTCACACAAATGCTCCAGATTGCTGGTTACCTGGGCGAGCTTGTGTCAGCCTCAGGCCTTCAGCTCAACATTGGCGTGGTGCAGACAGCGTATGCTAACGGCTCCTCAACACGCTACCTGGAGGATGTTATGGTATGCAAGAAGCAAAAATTCAAGTAACGTCACTTATATTTAGCCTTATTGCTCAAGTCTATTGTACTTCAGAGCCCTTGATTTTTAAAGGTGAACTTTATTGTAATAAGGTATCCAAGTCACCATCTGAGTCACTGTCCTTGGTGCTGAAAAGCTGTGCCCTTTTGAAATAAACTTTACATTTACATGTTTTCTTTTTGTTAAGTTTCTTTTGTTGACACAACCAACGTTAAGGAAGTTTGTTCAAGTTTAGCACGTTTTGCCTTCCCCCAGAAAGTGCCTGTGTCCTGTGCAAAGACTGGAGTGAAACACTTACACCACAAGGCTTTGGAGTTTGATGTTGGGGTGTACTTTGAAGCCAATGGACATGGAACGGTAAGGCAGTGCTTTTTCTTACCACATGTTGTGCACATTTTTTTAAACCAATGTGATGACTCGCCGCCCAACCAAGGTAAATGCTATGCAGACTTGTGGCTTTAGTTTTACTACATAGATCAATTATCACACACTTTTCCAGGTACTTTTCAGTGACCAAGCAGAGCAAAAGATCAAGGCTGCCAGCCAGGATGACAGGTATCACAAACCCTTTCCCACGTTGTAGTCAGTAGATACAATTTACAATGGAGGATGCTTGTATATGTAGTATGTAGTCCAATGTAACCTTTTTGTGCTCCACACTAAAACATCTTATTGGTCATGCCTGCCCAGTCTTGAGTGCAGTAGGAGAGAAGCTGCAACAAGGCTGACCCTCATGATGGACCTGATCAACCAGGTAAGTAAGGCCTAGGAAATTTACTGTTGTGTTTACAGTCCTGGAAAATAATGTACCAGAAGCTTTGGCAGTTTAATTTTATTATCCTTAATTGATATAAACATGATTTGGATTATTCATGGCAACCAAAATGAACATAATCTAACAACATTGCTGTGGACCCCCCAGACTGTTGGGGACGCCATCTCAGACTTTCTAGTGGTGGAGACCATCCTGTCCACCCGAGACTGGGCCGCAGACGACTGGAACATGCAGTACAGGGACCTCCCATCCAGGCTGCTCAAGATCAAGGTTAGTAACTAACTTACTAAGGTTACGCATTCACTTCTTTCACTAAGGGTGCAGTCTATTTCCTCTTGATGCTTACTGTTCTAAAGGCTAATTTGCCATCTATTACTGTAGATTGGACTTTGTCACTTTCTGTCACACCATATTTGTACAGGTGAAGGACAGGACAGCTGTCCAGACGACTGATGCTGAGCGCTGTGCCACGGCACCAGCTGGTCTCCAGGAGGCCATCAACAAACTTGTCGCTAAATACCAGCAGGGAAGGTCATTTGTCAGGTAGGTTATTTCTGTACATGTATTTGGTAGTCTATGTTCAACAATTGTTGATTACATCCCCACAGGCACCTTCATCATTAGCTGCTCACACCATTTTGCACATCCAACACCACTGATTAATGTCCCAGAACAGTGTTGATCTGATCATGGAGTTTACCTCCTTGATCTGATAGACTATTGACCATGTAGATTGGAGAAATAATTTTTTGTGCTGCATTTTCAGCCCATTTTTTTGTTCCTTGGGTTGCTAATTTAACAGCTTTTCATGGCACATTGCAATTTATTTCCTCAGGCCTTCAGGAACAGAAGACGTAGTCAGGGTGTTTGCAGAGGCAGATACTCAGGTATGACATGGTCATTGGAACACAACTCAAGTTATTTTTGGATTTTTTAGAACAGAATTTTGTTCTATATGGGTCACCCAAGGTCATATGCGGGTGATTATTGGGTTGTTTAATGTATGGATTGGGATGAATAAATACCTGGTTTGACTCTATTTGTGACATTACGGCGTCATAAGGAATCTGGAATGGAGCCTTCTGATTGGTCAACGTCACCCGGCTATATGATAATAACTAATAAAGAATTGGCTATTTCATTTGGCCACTTCAGCATGCTAGAGGTTAATCGTAATTTTGAAAATTTATAAAGAGAGAGGTATTTCAATACTTTAACTTTTCCTGCCATTTGTTTATCTGCAGGCTAATGCAGACGTGCTTGCTCATGAGGTCAGTGTGCAGGTGTACCAGCTGGCAGGGGGAGTCGGGGACCAACCACAGCCTCCCAGCACTTCTTAGATAAAATATGGTCTATGTGGACAGGTGGTCACTATGTAGAGTAAGACAGGATTCTTACTGTTTGTGTCACATTGGTCAGGTGGTCCTTTATGTACAGGATTCACTGTAGGACAGCATAATATAACTATCAATCTTCCTGTCAAGTTCATTTTCTATGAAAGTCTTGGCACCAGACATACATTTTGTACATAGACATCTGTGAAGTGGTGGTCGACCCAAATGGTGGGATAGTTGACTGCAACATAAGGCAGCAGCAAACATTGTCAGATTTGTGGCAATGATATATTAGTTCATGGCTTGCTCTAAGTTGTATGTCATGTTTTGATTGTGCATGTGAATAGAATCAATGGGCATGTGGTGCTCTTGCATTTACATTACTTTAACACTTTCCTTCTGGCAGCAGCAAGAAGGAATCCTTAGTGTTAAGTAGACTCAAGTAAATAAGGGTAATCACTGACTTGATGAGGGTAACAAATTTATGTGTAATAGTATTTTTAGGTTTGCCGCCTTAGGCGAAAATTAGTGCGCGCGGATGTCATCCATAAGATTTACTTGCTGTGGCCACTTAAAAATGACGTGAACTAGCTCCCAATGAGCATCAATTCTGGTTATCTTTTCCTAAACTATCTACATGCCAATAGTGACAATCCCAATGTACATGTGTATATAGTAGAGCATAGCTAGATTTGAATCAAAGGCCTTATCATCACTTTATTCAAAGAAGAAAAAAACATTTTTTTTTGCATACGATTTTGTTGTGCAAAAACACAACGGCGGCAAACCGACAGCTTTTTATGAAAGCACTTGTTTATGAAACGGCTTTCTGTTGCAATGACTTGTGAAATGATTCTTATGTCTGGTGTTGATAAATTAACATTGTATTGTCCTCATCATTTTTTTGCTGTTGTTGGTAAGAGGCAGATCTTTTAACTAAGTTGATTCAACTCTTGAAATGAACGAGACATATCTGACTACAGTTACTCAAAACAGGACTGTTAAGAGGACACATACCAATAGTCTTTCCAAATGTGAGCAATAAACATGCAGAAACAAGGCCAGATGTACCAGGGCATGTTCACCACCCTTGGAGGTGGTTTGTTCCATACAAGCTACTAGTAGTAGTTTGGGTGTGTCCAGTCTTCTAATGGAACATACCATTGTTGCGGGTGGTGGGGCTGCAGTAAAATATATTCAAGCCCCATTCATATGTGCATTGCAGTATCTGAGTGTTAGAAGTACAATAGATTTGTGCAGTGTAATGGAGTGTACTGTTGCAGGATTCTGTATCATGATTTAAGAATAATGAAAATAAAATTCAATGCAGTGTTCCTGCAAATTGCCTAAAATTCTCAGACTTGACCTTCCTCTCCCTAGTAGTAACTTGCCCACCAAAAATCAAGAACATCCATCCATGGCTTTAGCAGTTATGCCACTTACATCCAAAGTCACTCCAGCATTACTAAAGTGAAAACATAATCTTCTGGCAAGGTAATAATAGTCTTGGTTCTAAACTTTAGCCTGGATGCTAGACCCATGGCATCTAAACTTTGGCACAGACTTGTCACCAATGTTTCATAAAATCATGTGACATGCTTAAATGGGAAATAAGTTAATACCAGAAACACAAAGACACATTTTCACACTTTCTCCATAGCATTTCTCATTTATTACTGTACATGTTTTATAGCAACAACATTGTGTTATTTACTGTCCCTTTTATTCTGGGCACTGATTTGAGTGAACAGACCTCTCAAATAAAACACCCTTTTCAACTTGAAACTTGTCCAACAGTTAACACATCCAACACCTCTAGATCAAAAGATGTGTTCAGACAAGCCGAATAAATCCTCTACAAAAAACCCAACCTGTTCCACTAATGAAAATGGATTAATTAAGTTGCATGCATACATTTTGGGCATGGAAATCCTTGTTGCTGGGGTATGCAATCTTGAGCAAGGCATTTGGGAACTCCATTGCCCTTCAGCCTTATCATCAGCAGTAAGCGCAATGGAAGAGATCAGAAAATATCTTATTATAAGACATCCATATACCCATTGACCAAAAAAACTGTAATATAGAGAAGGCATGACTGGTATTTAATGTGCTACTATGAGAAAGGGTCTACAAAATCATGCAATTCTAATTTCGTTGTGAGCTTAGCACGATACCGCTGTCCCGACACCTGCTCTTTATCTTGCTTGGTGCCCATAGAAGATTCTGTTGTCCCACCAGTCTGTGCCGGTGAGTTAGGAGCGGTTGAGGACTCTGCCTTTGCATTCGCTGTCGGTACAGCTCGAGCGCTGCCCGAGGATGCAGCTTTAGGATTGGCTGACAAGGGGGCCCTCACATTAACAGAGGGAGCAGCAGCTCTCGGATTGGCTGAAGGGGCAGCTTTGACATTAGACGGTGCAACCTTGGGATTGGTTGATAATGACACCTTGGGATTGGTTAACGTTGCTCTGGTGTTTGGGGTTGAATCTGCTCTCTGGCTCAACGACATTACCCCTCGGGAAGTGGTCGAGGATTCTACTTTAGACTTGGACCCAGAGCGATTTACATCATTTTTCTGGTGGCGATTTTTGACAGAATTCTTGGGCCTTGCCCCACCAACAGCCTCGCTCTGCTGTCCTGAGTCCCGTTTTGTTTTGCTTGCCTCTTCTTCTCTCACCGAGTGCCTTAGGCGCGGCATAGACAAATCTTCCTCAGACGACGTGGATGATTCTTCATCACTCTTCCATTCTTTCACTGGTAAGTCGTCCTCTGACATGAGTGCAAGTAACAAGTCCTGTACAAATTTACTCTTATCTGCTCTTTCCTCCTCCCACTTCTCACGTTCACCCTCTGGTAACTGGTTCTCCCATATTCTGTGAAATTCAACAACACAAGCTGTAAGAACTAATACTTGCTATTCCAAAGAGCCAATGCTCAGATACACATTTCTTGATTACTTAAGCTTATCAAACATGTTCATTACCACGATACTGAGAGATCAAAGTGAGAGATACAATAGCATATATAATAGCAGGATGACAGGATAGGCAATCATCAGAATCCTATGAGATTAGACTGAAGTTATTTTTCCCAATTGTGATGGATTCATTAATGCACTCACAAAGGACAGTAACTTTTATCAGTAGTGCCAACTGCACAGTCCTGTTGTATCCTGAGCTGTGTTGCTATTACACCACTGCAATTCTATAGATGAGAGATCCAAAATCAAGTCAGCTGGATGAGTGTGAACCAGCCACCATACCAACCTGGATAACAGGAACTGTGGACTTCCCTGCCCAGCTGCACTGATGGAGTCTAAAGGCTGGGTGCCTGCAGCAGTGGGGGTGCTGGTGGATGATGGAGCAGCCTGTCGCCGAGGCATGGACCTCTCCAGCTGCTGTCGGGCAGCCTGCGCCTGTTGGCGCTCCAGCTGCAGCTGCATCTGTAGCTGCTGCAGCTGGGACGTGGTGGCCGCTGTGGTGGAAGCACCTGCTGTGCGCCGGACACCTGACAGCTGAGACAGCAGCTCTGTGGACAAAAACAGATTCATCATCAAACTAAGTGGTGCTTTGGGAGTGCAATCCTCCTGACAGTTGGCAAGTGTTGTTTCTTCCACTGGATGTAAAGTCTGCAGGTTGTATGGCTTTATAAAGTCAGTAAATTCAGATAAACTGGACCTGAAAAGTTCACAATGAAAGTACATGTAGTAAATACTAGCCATACCAGCTATGGGGTCCATGGTTTCTCTGCTGCTTGGAGAGGTGGTAGACTGGGCTGATAGGCCAGCTGCAGTGCTGAAGTGCATATTGGCCCGGCGAGCCCTGGCTCCCCCCATTCCCCGGCCAGGATGGAACATCCTGCGAACATGCCGCGCACTACTAGCGTCATCGTGCTCGCCAGTCAAGGAAAAAGTTTGGATTGAGGCCTGAGCTAGCTGTCAAGGGTTGTCTGCAGGTAAGTGTCGATCAAATGAACCTAAGACTAGGATATATATATAGTTCAAGGTACACAGTGTCTTACGTCTATAAAAAACTACATGTCCTTACATATTGAAGTACTTTTCAACTACTTGGTCTTAAAACAACATACAGCTGTTGTTATTCCATGCTGGGAAGGTGGCCAAAATTTCAGTTTAAAAATAAGCCAGTCTCAAGTGTCCCAGATTAGAATGTTGGCCATGCAGAGGTTGTCACTAAACAGTCTTGAGTAGTGTAAGAATCGATAAAAACTTGACTGCATTACAAGTAATACATGCCTTACAGAGTTACTGCATAATAATGATGATACACAGTTTCAAATTCAACTGGGAAAAATCAATCTCTTTCTCTTCTATTACATATCACAAGTTCTTGCACATGATTACATTCAACTCAACTCAACATCACTACACAGAAAGTGGCTATTCATCTATGTAACACTGCCAAGAAGTTTGCAAAAGGATATCAGGTCTCTTGGCGATCTGTGCTCTAATGTAAGATGTGCAGCAAAGTCATCTGTGACGTGGTTTGGATCTCCACCTGGGACTGCTGCACAAACAGGGCACACCTACCAGGAATAGGGACAAAATTAGCAACTAAAGTTTTTTTTTCTCCCAGATGTTAAATCTGAATCTACATGTACTTAAAAGTCTGGGTTCATAAATTGATGTCCATTGGTTTAAGGTGGCATGTGCCTTTACAAAGATGGGGCATATTAAAACATGTACATTACTCATGCAACGAATGCAGGAAGACTACATGTAGCTTATTGTATTCCTGTTAGCATTTATTACCAGCACCCACACATTTAAACCGGCAAACACATTTACAATACAAATACAAAAAAAAAAAAAACACATTTTAGGTTCCAATTCTTTTTAACATTTTCCATTTCTTTGAAGTAAAATGCAGTTTTGTACCCAAGAAAAGTTCTGAAATGCAAATACATGTATGTGCCTTTCCATGCGACCTGCTTCCTGAAAGCCTATGTCATGATGACCAAACTACAAATGTACTTTAAACCCATTCACGGTCTATGGTCAATGAAAAGAAAACTGCAGAAAAGGAAAGCAGCAAAATGTTGTTACCACTTCTGTGGAAGTGTCAGAGTGTTCAGACGTGACATGTTCCTGTAGTGAGGACTCTGTATACCCCATTTTCCCACAGAAAGGACATGTGAAGGACTGAGGATGCTCTATCGCAAGCCCTTCCCCACCATAGTACAGCTCTGAAAAGGTAATAAAAGCATGGTTGAAACTTATACACATATGCCCCAGTAAGTGTACTTGACATGTGCAGCTATAATGATGCATATCATTCACCTCTAATTACATTATACTAGGACTATACTAGGTTACTTCTAATGGGGCAAGATTTCAGAATCATGAAACATCACAAAATTTGGTAAACCCTTATTAGAAACTCATTGACATGAGAAAAAAATAGTTGTTTGGGTACATAGGCTACTATTTTAATCATTTCAGTCATTTTAGGAACTGTTCCAAACATGCATCCAAGTGCAGTGCTTACGGTGTTTTGAAACTCACTGCTTCAACTATTGGCTTCATTCCAAAAATATCTATCAACATGTAATGGACATGGTATGTCAGGGTAGAGACTCCAATCTGGTAGATTCAGCATTCTTCCATTAGAGGTCATGTTTGGAGTCTAAGATATTCACTTGAAAGTTGAAAGACAATCAGAACTTTAAAACTTTGTGTCACTTAAATATTCAGGATTTGTAAATGGAAAGTCTTGTGACATAATACTTTGGGCAATATAAGCATCCCAACCTAAAAACTTCATTCCTAAAATACAAGGATGCAAATAAGCATGGTTTGGATGAGTGACGGTGTACAAATGCAGTTTCTACAGTTGAAATATGACACTATTTATTTGCATTGCTCTTATATTTAGGGCTCAGCTGGACCAGTTACAAGGTTTATGATATAAATAGCAAGTCAAACAAATCAGTGTTAAGCAGTGTTGGAGATGGATAACAAAAATAATCTGAAACTTTAAAGCATGTTAAAATCTACCAAACTGCAACCGCAGCTCATTACCCACATGTGCTAGTACTATCTGCAATTTGAAACTTGCAAATTTCCTGTCATAAAAAAAATTCAAGGCTGACTGATAATTTATCAGTTTTTAGTCAGATATGTGGAAATGGTAAGTTTATTTCCAACAAACAGCCATAACCTGCAAAACTAGATACCATAGATTGCATTTTACACTGTGTACATGTCCTGTATGTCATAATGTAATCCTCACCAAAGTCAGATCTTGTCAGAATACACTGCATGGGGTGGTCAGCAGTGTGCCTTGTCGTGGTGGCACCACTCTCGTAACAAGATGCGCATAAATCGTAGTCGTAGCAGATCAGACACTTATATCTCTTGCCTCTGAAGTTGCCCTTCAAGCAAGAGTCACAGCTGACACCTGCAAGTGCAATTGTTTGAAAGTGAAAGTTCACATCACTGGCTAATTACTAGTATCCTTCAGAACTCTTGATGATTCAAACATCCCAACCTTGTGATCCTGTACAAGAATTACAAATAACTAACTGTTTACAGTCATGACATAACAAATCTAATTTCTTGTCACCTCAATGACCAAGTTCTGGCTAATTCATATTGTTCACAGTAAGTAAATGTATTTGATGTTATAACATGTAGGTAAACTTAATTTTTTTGAAACCCAACCACTTAACTACCAGTGCTTTATCTTGATAGTGATCTATAGAAATACCAGATGCATCATAGAGATGCCAGTATATGATGAAACACATCTAGGCCTGACAAATCCACAATGAAAAGACTGTTATACCATCTGACATTGACTGTATGGTGCAGATGAGTCAAAGGATTTTTAAGCCTAGACACACTAAAAAGCGGCAACCATTCTTCTCCTTAAAGAATGGAGGGTCATTAGAGACCACGTACTAAAGAAGCAACTGATACACTTTATTGAAGCGACAGTTAAGCCATTCATCCTACTGCAAATGGAATACAGTTAAGTTAACCACGAGAGTAACGTTACAGTGCTACAGAATACCTAGTTTGGCCCCACCTACACTTATGGCGCAGGTACCTTCTGCTAACATTGAACGTCAGACAACACATATCGTACCCTTCTCATTGAAATAGATACTCTATGAGCGCCAAAAGATGACGGATACACAAACTGTATCAATTTTGACGCATAAAAAATGTTAGTCGGCATGCCAGTCAGTGAGGCACCTGACTATGGCAGCCATCTTGCCCACCCAACCCCCTTCGTCTTACCTTCATGTCGGGACATCCTAGAAAGTGAAATCGCGCTGGACGCGCCTCAAAACCGTGAAGACGGTCCCTAACGACGTAGGGCACAAGCATGAATAATGGTGTCACACAAAAACGCTCCACAGCCGCGAATTGAGTGGTCAAATATCGCAGATATTTCGCAAATCACTTCTCCGTCCACGGAAAATGACGTCAAATTTCCCAGCATGCACAGGCAGTAGATGACCCACCTCTCGCAGAATCTCGTAAAGTCTCGTCAAATTGTGTGGAAAAAAATCAAGCTCCTTTCAGAGAGCTCAGTAAAACCGAGGAGGTTTATAGATACAAGAACCTCCTTGGTAAAACATGTAAAAGTGATGGAGATTTTTCTTTTGATGTATTCTCAGAGTGTTATTAACGTAGAATTCGGTTCCAGCTGTAGCTTTTATTCATTTGGGGCTGATTCCAAAACTTTCAGTGTCTGCTTTTCAGTTTTTGTCCGTTCGTCCGTTTGTTTGTTTGCTTGTTTTTGTTTGTTCGTTTCTTTGTTTTTCTTTTCAACTTTTCACTGAAAAATGAGATGGGTAGGTTCATCAACCACTCCTTGTTGTCACCTAGCGGAATTAATAGTAACTGCAGATCATGAAGATGCAACAAGTTCCTGCTCAAACCTAAACCTATTTACTCATTCCAAAGATATCATGTTATCTAAGCCAGTCATTACATCATCAAGTAAAGCTGCATAAGGCATAAGCAGACGTGTACAGACTCCGTGCAGCTCAACAGCCGAAACCTGTCAGTAGGCAACAAACTGGCAAACTTCTCATCCAAAATCACGTGATCGATCACTTGTAAACAAGATGGCCGCGTCCAGTCGTGTGTTGGTGTATGGAGGGAAAGGTGCGCTCGGATCCGTCTGTGTCAAGTATTTCAAGGAGAAAAGCTGGGTGAGTAAACAGTTAAAGGTCTAAGGAGTGCCGTGAGATATGTAGAGGTAGTTAACATTCTGTATAGGCGGTATGTCTCCAGTGTGAAGCTGAATCATATGACCCTCACTCCACTTCGTAAACCATCTGTCATGATCAGGTCGCCGCGTGGGTACGTAACGTTAAACACTTGTGCTCCTATGTAGCTCATAAGTTACAGGCAATATGTCATGTCAGGCCAGGGTCATTGCACAGACAGCATAATTTATGTCACACATTTCAAGGAGGACATAAGTTTATAACAAAGAACGTTTAACGTTAGGACATTTCTGAAAGGGGCGTGTCCACAGTAATGAAGTATTTATTAGATTGTTGCTATACTAGTTGCAAGCAGAAGATGTTGAGAGTGGCCCTTTCAAAGAAAACAATAAAACTACTGATATTAAAAGGGAACCAATAAAATCTGCTCTATATGGATAGGTGGTCACTATAGACTGATTATGAACAGGTGCATGGTCACTATAGACAGGATTCTCAATGTCAATGGGTAAAAATTATCTTAGGCCAGGTGGTCCTTATGTTAAAGTGGTCATTGTACAAGTTTGACTGTAAGTCAGTTTGCTTTTACATGTATGTAACGTTACATGTACCTACAATTTACAAGCCTGTTGCCGGCCATGTCTGTTTTACCAACAGTGGGTAGGCTCTATTGACCTGGTGCCTAACGAGGAGGCTGATGCCAATGTGGTGGTGCAGCCATGTGAGTCATGGCAGGAGCAGACCGACGCCGTGCTGAAGGGCGTGGACGATTCCCTGCGCGGAGAGAAGGTGGACGCCATCTTGTGCGTGGCAGGAGGCTGGGCAGGCGGACATGCTGGCACAAAGGGTGGGAGGCTGAGCCATCTCATAAATCAAGACAGATTTCTCATTTTCCACTCAGGGGATCAATTTAATCTGATCTATCTGTCTATGTTACCAGACCTATTTTAGTTTTTAGCTCTTGTGTCTTTATCTCCAACGTGGGAGCTAGAATAGGCCAGGACAGATGGACACTATATAGGACTATTAATGTTTGTCTCAATGGGAAAAATTATATAAGTAAGGGACCACCAAAAAGTGGTCACATTAGCCAAGTGGTCCTTGGGTTGGTCACTTATACAGGTTTGACGGTACTGTCATGACTGTTTAAGTCAGATAATATTATGATGTTACTCTGACCATAGAATGTGTTTTGTGTGAATGATGGAATAGACAATAACTGTGCTCCAACTTATGTTGACCTGTTCCCTATAACCTCCAGACTTCATCAAGAACTCAGACCTGATGTGGAAACAGAGTGTGTGGACGTCTTCCATCGCAGCCAAGTTGGCTTCACAGCATCTCAAGGATGGAGGAGTACTCACCTTGCCAGGGGCTCAGCCTGCGCTGGGGGGAACAGCAGGTATGAAGGCTATGTGGAACTAGTAATACAACTTATTAAGACACTCACTATGCTTTATATCTTAAACACAAAAGCGTTAAATGACCAAACAACTATCCATTAAATGGCTAATTTGTAACCTTCTTACTCAACCCAGTCCATGAAGTTTTGCCTGATGTGTTGTGCAGGAATGATTGGCTATGGGATGGCCAAGGCTGCTGTCCACCAGCTGACCAAGAGTTTGGGCCAGCCCAATGGTGGTCTTCCTGAGGGGGCTGCTGCAATCGCCATTCTTCCGTATGTTTCTTTAGACACTGCAAATTGAGTACTCTTGCATGTATCCTTGTTCATATTTATTTTCTACTGTATGAAGGAGCAGTTTGTCAGCACTGTGTAATCATTACATGCTGCTCTTGTGTTGGCAGAGTGACCTTGGACACCCCCATGAACAGGAAATGGATGAAAGATGCTGACTTCAGCACATGGACATCCCTGGAGTTTGTAGCAGAGTGAGTGTAACAACTTTTTTCTCATGTTATTGTGCAAGAACCTTGACAGAAAAAGAAGATAATAACTTAAGAAATATATTCACACAAGCTCTTGACATGAAGAGTATGCCTTTCATAAACTCCTTGTTCTTTCATCCATAGACCAATCCCATAGTCCCACCGACGTTCAAGCAAAATGAAAGCATAGGATGCAATTGTTTAACAGACATGCAGCCACTGTGTTGACGTCATTGGTTTAACTACTAATTGCCATATTATACAGTTTCTTTAACTGCTAGTTGTGAAGGACAGTCAGAATCTGTTGATCCATGAAACTGTCTGATTTGCAGGCTATTCTACAACTGGACTCAGGGTAAGGACCGCCCAGCAAGCGGCACACTCCTGAAACTCAACACATCCGATGGCATCACCAAATGTACTCCTGCTAACTGACTCCAGCCAGGAGGCCTTTCTATGGACAACAACGCCCAGCTCCCAGGCTGACAAACAACGGGAAATGATTTGGACCTTGATGGATTTGGACCTTGGTGGTAGATGCATCCTGTCGACAGTGTTATTCATTTGTAATGTTGTTGAAGATAGACTTTGCAAGGTTTGGGCCTATTTTGTCAGTCTAACAAAATGCCTTCCTTCCCAAAATGATACGTATCATCAGAAACAGTTTGTAACCTACCTACGTTTATCAATGATTAGCTGCCTAAAAGTTGCAGGGTTTTCATTGGTATCCTTTGGGTTTAATTGCAAAAACAAGCTAGATACGCTAAGACAAAAAATGGCAAAAATCCTGTTAAGTCTATGTTTGAATGTAAGAAATATTGTAGCTTGCCCAAAGCAGGAAGGATAGAAGCCTCCAGGTAGAGAATGAGAAGGCTTTCTTAAACTCAACAAGTGATCATGTGATAGAGTGTTATGGGTGAACTAATAGATAGTGGTGGTGCAAACTGGTGATTCTTGGTGCTGACTTAAGACATATCTGTGAATCAACATTTACAAGTAGCTAGTAGAACTAAGGCCCTGCAAGTGATTTTGAGAGAGAACTTCTGGCAGCCTATTCACATGTGTAGAAATCGTGAGACATGACTCTGAAAAGAGAAACTTGCACACAAACATTTGAAAAGCACATTTTGTAGGCTGAATAGCTGCAACAATAGGTCATGGTAACAAATGTGGAGACAGTTTACGTAGACAAGTGTATGCGTACCAGGTCTAAAGCCCAAACCATTAAAATGCAGGTGTCATCCAGGAAACCAAGTTTGTTTAAGTGTCCTCATTATTTTTTTAGTGGCTATCTAAAAATTAGATGTAGGAAGGAGTGACAGTATTCTGTGAAAAAAAAAGGAGGGTCTTGGCTCATAAAAGTATAGGTAGAGAAAAAACAAGGATACTTTGAAACAACAAAAAGGATTCTCTTTTTTATTTTTCTCTGTTTGCACTTTGAAATGGTTGCTAGTGTGCATCAATTACCATGCACATGGTCTGGGTAGAGTTGAGTGAAACATTTGGAGTACCAGATGCTGTGTCCCAGCCCCTCAGCCTCACAGCGGGTCATCATGTCACTCAGCACGTCATACGGGGTGTTCGCACCCGAGCCAATGCACCGGATCCCGGGCACCAGCTTGTCCTTTCCAACTTCTTCAATGATTTGGCTCAGGTCGTAGTCAAAGGACGAGGCTGTATCACGGTAGATCTGGAGGGGAGACAGCAGAGTTGAGTAGAACTTGCATGCTTACCAGTAGTTCTGTAACTGTGCATTGCTGAGGATAAGCTCTTCAAGGCTGTCATTTCATCAAGCTTGGTTCATAGTCTAGTTTTTATCAACAGCAGTAACTGATTTGATTTTTCATGTATCCATTATTCCATGGAATCTTTACATACAGCATTTACTATGAGCACACCATGAAGCTATTTCTAGCCCACCTTTGGCACATATTCATGGAAGCCGATGTCGTCCTTTGCCCAACGACCCCAGTCCATGTTGTAGTTCAGCAATGATGATTGAGGAGGTGAAACCGGTGCCAGCGACACCTTCCCAGACACACGTCTAGAGAGAAGATGTGATTCGGTGGTGTCAGCAAGTTACAAGTACGGTCCATAGCAAAGAATAACAAGAATTTGGAAGTTTCAGACTTTAACTTCAGATCTTCAAGTTCACAGACCTTAGGAAAGTGGGTTTGATTGGATGTTACACCATTTCCTTAATTTATCCATATACTGACCACTTAGTCCCACCCTGCATGCTGGGTCACCTTCAGGCATGACTATCAATTGTCAAAATCTCCTCCCACCCATCATGCAACTTCATCAATTTGGACAGAAAGAGACACAAACCCACAACTCAGCCACCTGATTATATCTGGAGAACCCTGGTAGTATATCTCACTTAAGGGGCATGTAGCAGTAGCTGAGAATAGATAACCAGCAATTGTAGTGAAATTCTTTCCATACTCACTCTAGGATGTAGTTTGCAGCATCATTCATTGTTACCACCAGGTCACTTCCAAGCTGGTACGGTTGGCCAAAATGCTCGTCTATCTGAACACCACCCAACCCAGGGTAGTTGTCAAATGCATCCTGCATCATTCCAGCAACAAAGTCCAGGACCTGAGGGAAAAGCATTGAGTACATACCTGTAACTAACCTTCAAGGTGTTCCATTTCAGGTCTGTTCAAAATGTTGTGTTGCATCCCTTTCATTAAAAAGCTACAACTTTGATGCCAGAGACAACTTAAATGGTAGAGGACAGGCATCAGTAGCCTGATATTCATCTGATGTTATACACAACCAACAGCTAGGTACGTTATCCATGGTTGATCATTTTCACCTGAGACAAGTGCCTTTTCCAAGGGCACAACACTGGGGCCTACCAGGGATTCGAAGCCGGAATAAAAGGTGGATATCTGACAGGGAGGAGGGTGATAACCTCACCTCAAAGTTGCCAGCATCCATCCACCAGTAGCCCTTTGCCTCTCCCTTCATCCAGCCCATGTTATACACAGTGCTGGAGAAGAAGGTCATAGTGGGGCTGTCACCCCAGGTAGCTATGAGGCCATACTCAAACCACGCCCATACCTGTGCACGCATAGAAAGGAAATGGTTTGCTTTAACAAATGCTTTATACTAGTAACTTTATTTTATTCGAAGTTCATGCAAAGTACATTGTATCTACACAAATTTTACGGAATACGTATGAATTTATGCCTTGAAACATTCGAACATACATGTGCATTACTAGGTGTTCTAAAATCTACATATTAGCCTAGTGACTGTAAGTTAGTCTATATATATCAATAACAAAAATCTGAATTCGTATGGCCCAAAACGTGTGTGGGCACATTTATCGTATATCGATCGCCGTACGATTTTGTTGTAGGATTTCAATAATCAAGCAGGCTTATGATAAAGCAAACCGCGGACAAGGATAAGACACTCCAATTCCGTAAGAAGACAGATGACGTTTGTACGACACGAGCACGACTATCCCGAGGACGTCCTCGGTTTGGGATCGTACGACGATCGCAGGACGAATGTGACCGAGCCCTTTGATTACCTCTATCCCCCTCTTCAGTCCCTCCTCTACAGCCCAGCCCAGCACGTCCCTCACAAACCCACGGATCCCCAGAGACTCGAAGGTCGGGGAGTGGAAGTAGATCTGGCCTGTGAACACATGCTTTGATTTTTTCCCAATACAATAACAACCATGAGTACTTATTCTAAAAAGCACTTCAACCACCGCATCTTAACATAATTAGCTTGGTGCGTGTGTGTGTGCATGTGCGCGCGCGCGTGCATGTGTGTGCGTGTTTGTGTGTGTGTTCCACTTTAACATTCGAGATTAGTCATCAGTCCAAAGATATAATCTCCTTCAAGAGAACCTAGACAGCTGTATCAATACAATTGTGTACATACGGCAGTCTATATATGACATATCTTTTCGTCTGTAAATACGCCGATATGTAAAATAAATAGTCATACCGTCGGCCCATACATTGAGATAGACACGGTTGATGCCTTTTGCCTTGAGCTGGGCGAACGAGACAGCCAGTTCAAACTGCGTGTTAGCGTGCTCGTAGCGGCTCAACCAGGTGGCACGAACGTCACCATACGGGGCTGTATAGTTATCTTCTCCCAATGACGACCACGGTCCTGCCCCGTTGTCGATACCTACAAAAAGTAGTTAAAAAGAAAGCGTTCATAAAGTAGATTGTAAGCTGCCCATACTAGAAGTTGCAGACAAGACAGTAACCTAAAGATGTCGTACTTGAGTTGGTCTGGCATCCTCCGTAATGACAGCTGTAACAGCACTTGACTTCGTCGCCGTAGGAAGGACACTTGCCGCTGACGTAGTAGCCGTACGGACAGGACTCCACGGTGACGCAGTGGCCGTGCTGTCCGTTAACGGCGGTGGAAGTCGCACATTCAGGATCGTTAGCTGGAGCGAGACAGAAATTAGACACTCATGATTCCATTTATATAACTTTGTGCCTTGACGTATAGGAATTGTACCTTTTTACGTGTGATCATACTAACCGGAGGCAAGCGCCAAGAACACGAAGGCAACAGCAAAAGAAGTCAGCGCCATTTTGCACAGGCAAAGATGCTCGTCCAACAGTTCTGATCCTGGAGTTTACCACTGAGGTGCCGGCTTGCCTATTCGGCAGGACGGGCGCTTATTTTAAAGGTGCTAACCGCTATGTTGATTGGTCAAGCCGTGTTTGTACAATGGTGTAATTGGCTGGTGTGTGGCGTCCTGTCGTGGAAGCTTGGGAACTTTTCTTCTATTTTCCCTCATTGGGTCGTAGGGTCATGGTCCTGTTTTTGATCAGAGGTGCATGTAGTCGCGTGGCGCGATAGTCTACGTGTCTAGACGTGACCGCCAAATGTACATGTTTCTGTCATGTCTACAGGAGACCACTGTTCCTGTTGGATAGAGCTTAATACACAACTAAGTTATTTTACAGGGTAGTTCGTCACTACTGCGCCCGTCGCATACATGTACACGCTCTTATCTTGGTCTGTGAAACTAGAATATTCATGCTATATTGAATAGTTCTTATGTTCATATCTTTATCAGAATGATCTAGGCAGCCATTGCAATTGTAGTATTTTTCAGCCGTGAGTGGTTGAGGATCTCCGAGGCGGGTCCCAAAACTCAAAAAAGGAAAAATAGTTGGAAGTTTTTGTTAAGTGTTTATAGTTCCACATACCTACTCCATGAGTATGCGCCGAGCCCCAACATCCACACTCTGCATTGCTTTCTAATGCGATGAATCAGCAGACATGTATAGAAATGTGCACGTTTTGTGACTGCCATAGACACGTGGACTATCGTGCCACGCGACTAAACGCATCGACATCTCTGATCACAAACAGGACCATGACCTACGACCCTATGACGGAAACCTGGTCTGAGAATAGATGGAATGTTCCTAAGCCTCCACAACAGGACGTGCCGCTGGCTCTCCAGACAATATTAGTCCGACCAATCAACCTAAGCCTAAGTCCCAAGCCTAAGTCTGTTTGTAGCTTCACATTCGTATACCGTACCTATGAGCCTATTCGGCCGACCCCCATCTCCCGATGTCTGGTATTGCTCAATATCAATATCTCTGTAAACACTTGAAAAGTCCTCTGCAAATTGTAAAGATGACGAGCAAATCATAATTCTGGGTCTGGACTGGAATTCAAACCCAAACCTTATATAAATAAGCTGGCCTAAACTTCTGTATGGTACTTGGTAATGTGCCATTCAGTCGGTACATGCGGCCCACGAGTGTGTGTGCGTGTAGTTCAGCACCAAGGACAGGAGAATCGGTCTTTGACATTAGTATCGTTGCTGTGTTCTGTCAGTCACTGGTGGTAACAAGTACTGCTGGTGAGTTATTCACTGGAAGCGAGAAATACGAATACATATGCTGGGTGTGGCTGAACATACGCCCCAGACATTCTTAAAATACATGCTCTAGCTATCTGTACGCACAATAACTAACAGTAATACAATAGTGCAGACTTTCTTTCTCTCACTTGTTTGTTTCTTTATTTGTTTTCTTTCTCTCCATATGCACTTTGTGATGTGTTTGCTCTCGCACATCAACTATCCAAGAATGAGGTCTGTGTAGAGCAGCGTGAAGCATCTTGAGTACCAGACGCTGTATCCGATACCCTCGGCCTCACACCGACTCATCATCTGACCGAGTGCGTCGTACGTCGTGGGAGAACCCGTGCCGATACACCGGAGCCCGGGGACAAGCTTGGTCTTACCGACCGCTGCTATGACGCGATCAAGGTCGGCGTTAAAGACTGAGGCGTATTCACGGTAAATCTGGTGGGTAGAGAGAAACTGGGTTGATAAAGCTTACACACACATTTCTGTAAATATCAACATGCTACCTAGGACATTGATGTTTATTTGTTCCTCGTCTCTTCTTGGTACAGGAACAAGGAACTTCATTTTGCAAAGGATGTCCAACGGATAAGTATACTATATGTAACTGTTGTTACTCTTTACGTAGCATTTTCAACTGACCTGAGGAACGTACTCGTGAAATCCGATGTCCTCCCTCGCCCAGGAGGCCCAGTCCACGTTGTAATTCGTGAGGGAGAGGGTAGGAGGGGCTATCGGTGACAACGACACCCTGCCAGACACCCGACTGAAAAGGTGGTGTGATTTTGCAAGGCGTTAGCAGACTAGTGCACAGATACTGCTATGTTGAAATTATAAGGCCACTATTCGTTATACGTGTATTTACATGTGCTATCCTGTCGCATAAATGGCATTAATGACCTTCGCATCCATATCCTTTGCTCATTGATGTGTGAGCCATTTCTTACGCTTTTCCACTGATAAGCCAGTATATTGCAATTGTCATCAAGAAAGGTCCCCACTCCAGCCGCCACTTACCCAAGTATGTGCCTTGCGGCGTTTGTCATCGTCGCCACCAGGTCAGTTCCAAGCTGCCAGGGTTGAACAAAATGATCGTCCAGCTGAACACCAGCCAACCCTGGGTAGTTGTTGAAGGCGTCCTGCATCATGCCGGCAAGGAAGTCCAGGACCTGAGAAATATAGAACGTGTTAATGTATATGAAAAACTGACCTTGGTGTGTTCAAAAATTGTGCCGAGAAATGCGTATGTATGCAGACCAACAGCAAAACCTCTCAGAAAACACAGCATACTGAACCGGCTTTTATCTCACCTGTGTGTTTCCTGCATCCATCCACCAATATTCTCCAGCCTGTCCCTTTATCCATCCCAGACTGTTCACCTTATTTGAGAAGACTGTAACAGTTGGGCTGGAACCCCAACATGCCTTGAGACCGTACTCGAACCACGCCCAAATCTATTGGAAAAGCGGAGAAAGGTACAATGTACTAGATTCAAAATGCAGTCTTCATTTCCTTGTGGAATTAATCCTTGGCATCAGAATTTATATATTCTACACTGCCGTCTCCAATAATATCCTGCAAAAGTGTCTCGGCTGCTGTAGCTTAAACACGTTACCTCGATCCCCTGTTTCCGTCCCTCTTCTACAGCCCACCCCAGGACGTCTCTCACCAGCCCATGGATCCCCAGAGACTCGAAGGTCGGGGAGTGGAAGTAGATCTGGCCTGTTGACAATAAAATGACGATCTCACATTTGTCAGACGATCTCACATTTATCAGGAAATTCACAGTCCTTTATTTCTTTAAGCGTCTAAGTGAATTTCATTGTAATAATGTTGGGTTTCCGTCTAGTCCTGTGACTAGGACTCAGTGACTAGTATACTCTGTTTATAGGTATAGTTGCCAACTTGACACATATAAAACATAACCATTTAGAGGTTTGTCTTACTAATTAATAAGTACGTTTTCTGATTGCGGTGCTTTTACAATATACAGTAATCGTACTAACTGGACCACGTGGCTAAGGATTCGTCAGAACTTTGACAGAACAGAAGGATGGCGGCTGAGACCTACTGTGCTCTTACAATCACACTAACTGGGCCACGTGATTTTACAATACTAGTATTACTAACTGGGTTACGTCATCATCGGCTGACGATGGACATCCAAGAAGAACTGGGCCAAAAGTTACCGGTTTAGAAATTCTGCTTCGTCGTGGGAACCAGGGCAGCTGTAGCAATAATGCTGAGTAAATTCAACCCAGCTACAGTATATTTTGCTGTAAACACTTTACACAATATCCTTCCGATGTGATATAAATAGAATTTGCCCCATAGTTACCGCTGGCCCAGACGTTGAGGTAGACACGGTTGATCCCCTTTGCCTTAAGTGTGGCAAAGTTGGCTGCGGTCTCCGCATGGGAGGTGGCGTGGTCGTACCGACTCAGCCAGGTCGCGCGGACGTCAGCATATGGCGATGGTCCCGTTTGCGTTGCTGTTCCGGTCCCCGTACTTGTCCCTGTCCCAGGGTCTGTCCCGGTCCCAGTCCCTGTAGTTGTCCCCGTTCCGATATCTAACAACAGAAGTACAAGACATCCATTGAAAAGTAGTAGCGAGGTCCACTCGAATCGGCAGAGTAATGCTGCCGAAGGCAGACACAGAACTAGAACTAGTACTGAATCCTGTTATGGTCTTAATCTTTAATTAGAAGTTCCTTTAAAAGAAAATAAAATAAAAGAAATGGTATCGTACTTGAGCCCGTCTGGCATCCTCCCAGATGGCAGTTGTAACAACATTTGATGTCGAAGCCGTAGGAGGGACAGAGGCCGGAGACGAAGTAGCTGTAGGGACAGGAGGACACGGTGGCGCAGTGACCGTGTTGTCCGTTAGAGGCAACAGTACCTGTACATTCAGGGTCGTCTCCTGAAGAAGTAGAATTATTGCGTTGGGATAGTCTCTATTGCATGCATGGTAATATAATGGAGGATATAGGATAGGCTAACTGTAGGCTAACACGTACCAAAAAGGTCTCCTAGTAAAAGACCGCATGTGTCGGTAGCCTCCATAGCATGCCAAGTGGGGGTTTGGGGGGTCTTAATGGTCTTTGGGAGCTTTTATGTGCTATTTTCTGATTGTATATAGACAACATAGCCGACCTGGTTGAATTACCCCCCGTTTTTAGAACTGGGCTGATTAGAAAACAGCCGAAGACTACCAAACCTAGCCTCTACCAGGCACCGCGGATCGCTGGAAAAATAGTAAAAATTGGCCGAAATAAAGGGATAGTATACCAGAGAAGATCCAGGGCCATAGAAGCTCCAATTTGCGACCCGTGATATCTACTATTTTTCCAGCGATCCGCGGTGCCTGGTAGAGGCTATACCAAACCCCCAGTTCTAATACTTCTATAAGCCTGCTACGGAGGCTAATGTGTCGGACTTTTCAAGTCTCGTCTTTCAAAAAAATATCGAATTCAATACGTTTCTAAAGAGTTGACTTCTTTCAGTATTATCAGTACCTCTTTTCTTTACGATATCATGACATACTCACCCAAGACAGACCCGATGACAAGGAAGGTGACTACTAATCCAGTCAATACCATTTTGGACAAGCAGCGCGTTAACCCTGATCGATGAGAACGATACATGTATATGGAGAGCGAGGTCCTCATTAACCCATTCCTTGCTGTGTAACCCCATAACCAATGGAGAATGGTTAGCCAAGCGGCTACATTAGTCTGCTTAAGGTTAAGTTGACGGTATTACGGTACATTGTATATTGATTGCCCATTCTCTACGCTGATTGGTCTGATAATATTTAGTTCGTGTGTTTACTCACAAAGATGTATTCGCTTTAAAACTGAGTAAAGGTCTCATTACATCGTGCTGTTTGACCACCCCAAAACACCACATTTATATCCATAAATACATTTTGTACGATCATCAATATTGTTCAGGTTTAATCTGCTATGGTTATCCCACATTTTTCAAAGTTAAAAAAAACAACTAATATCTCGTAATTGCATCATTGCCTTCTGTTTTCGGGGCCGCGTGTGTGCGCGCGCGTGTGTCTCTATCTCTGTCTGTCTGTGTGTGTGAACAGCCATAATCATGATAATGATATTTTGTATCACGGTGGGAGGTCTGTGCGAAATGGCTGCATTTGGTCCCCCTTGCGGCTTATTATGGTACTGGAACGGAGCCTCTGCTTTTGATGATGTACATACATGAAGTGACATACTAGTGAGAAGGTTGATTTGCCTACCAATAAATTGAACATGCCTTTATGGATATGGTGTGAACAAAAACAACGGCGCCACCTGTCGGCAGATGTAGTATTGCAGGACCCAGAGCCAATTTGACCCCCGTTGACCTCGTGACGTCAGGACCACGCCGTGCAGACGTTGGGACAAGATTTAGCCTCCCTCAGTCATCAGGAAAAAAGGCCTCTTGAGACACTTTTTAAGGCTGAGTTCTGTAGCTAAAGGTAACCAAGGTATTGTTTATTGTTGTGCTGACTTTAAAGATTTGTTCTAGACGGTAAAATTTGTTGTAGACGGCAAAAGACAGCTCCTCGAAAGTGGCCTTTGTTGCATGCGCGCGCGTCGCTGAGGTGGGGAGGGGGGCGAATAAGTGAACTATACTGAACAAGTCCTTTTAAACCTCCTTGATTAAATCTTAACGTAGTAACATCTTTACGTCGACAGAACAAAAAGGAGGGTCGGTGGTGGCGTAGGTTCTTGATCCATTTATAAGCGCCTTTTCAAAAGAAAGCGTACCGCGGATTTCGCAAAGCGCCTCAGGAGCAAGCCCCGTCAAAACGTAGACATGCAAAAAAACAACAACATAGAAATGCAAATATATGCGTTCTGTTCACCACGGCGATCATCACCTTTCGAGTCTGGGCATGTGCTGTCTTATTTATGAACCTCCTTTCATGTAAATATTATGATGCAAGTAAAAGTTGATGTTGTCTGTGTTCTCCGCTCAGCTTGTTCGAATGTGCTTTTCTTCCTCCCTCATGTGCAGTTTCTCCTCACTTTGTGCTCTTCTCATGCTGCTCTTTGGGCGGCAAAACATGCCCTCAAGAGTCACCGTCACTGCTGAGAACTTGTATAATTTGTAATGATGATGTTTCTAGGCAGGCACTAATCATCTCTGTCACATTAGTTTCTAAGTTGTACAGCTGTTGACGAACCAGTTACCATGGAGCTGCGACCCAACCACACCATCTACATCAACAACCTCAACGAGAAGGTGAAGAAGGAGGAGCTGAAGAAGTCCCTCTATGCCATCTTCTCCCAGTTCGGCCAGATCATGGACATTGTCGCTCTCAAGACGCTGAAGATGCGCGGACAAGCATTTGTCATCTTCAAGGACATCAACAGTGCCACCCAGGCGCTTCGTTCCATGCAGGGTTTCCCGTTTTACGACAAGCCCATGCGAATAGCCTACTCCAAGACAGACTCTGATGCCATAGCAAAGATGAAAGGTACGTATGTGGAGAGGAAGAAGAAAGAGCGGCAAGAAAAGGCTCCGAAGAAGCCGGCTCCACGTCCCCAGGCAGCGGCTCCCGCTCAGATCCCTCCACAGCAGCAGCAGAGGATGCAGCAACAGCCTCCTCCCATGATGCAACAGCAGATGGCACCAGGTAAGACACTAGTGCTGGAAAATTTGGTTTTTAGTCCAGGTAACAGACAACAAGATTTTGCCAGGCTTAGACAATACATGTACTTTGCAGTCATGTTGTTTAGAGTACAATGGACATATATTATTATATGCCATGGTAGCTATTTTTTTCAGAACTGCATTACTAATTGGCTAAACAGGTTGTGATGTTGGAATTTTTCTGCAGAGATTTCTCAATTTTTTTTGCCCTATCTGGAAACAGACAATTGCTTCAATTACTGAACTTTGTTCCTGCATCTCTGTTAGGTGGGCCTACACCAGGAATGGGCCAGCCACCACAGCAGATGATGCCAGGCATGGCCCAGCCATCCCAGCCTCAGCCACAGGCAGAGCAGCCTCCCAACAACATCCTGTTCCTCACCAACCTGCCTGAGGAGACCACGGAGATGATGTTGTCCATGCTGTTCAACCAGTACGACTTTTTATTATATATGTTGGGCATAGACATCCCCCTCCCCAATAAGAAAGACCAATAGACCATAAAATTTACTTGCTGTGGCCTAAGTAGACAGTTATGTAACTTCCTCTGGGTATTGTTTTGGGTGGCTGAGATGTTTGAGGGTTTGTGAGTCTTGTTGTCCAGAAAGTAGATTGAGAGCATGTGGATGGGGATGACAGGTAGAATGGCAAGAGGTCAAAAGGTCAGACACAGGAGGTCAACACTTCAGACACCAGAAATGACGAGCCAGCAGGAATTCAGGAAGCCAAGGATTCCATGACGGGGCCCTCCAATATTTACCGGAAGCCTGAATCTGATTTCTTATTTATTCTGCATAGCCACTTTAAGGTAATCCTGTGGCCTGTTTGGCCAAATTATTTACCATTATGGTTTCTTTTCTTCCCTGTAGGTTCCCAGGCTTCAAGGAAGTGCGGTTGGTTCCAGGTCGCCATGATATCGCTTTTGTTGAGTTCGACAACGAGATGCAGTCAGGGGCTGCACGTGATGCCCTGCAGGGCTTCAAGATTACACCAACACACGCAATGAAGATCTCCTTCGCTAAGAAGTAGATGGTGGGGTAATGTGTATATGGTTTGTACTGCGGGTGCAGAACAAAGCAAGTGTCAATATTAGATATATTTTGTATCCTTACATGCAACCAGCCTGCATTGCACAACCGCTAGCCATGGTTTGCATTGCACTATAGGCAGTCATGGTAAGCATTGCACTACAGCAGGCTGGCTTGCATGATTTATCTAAAACCTTTGTTATGAGACTGGGACCAGATAAGACTGTTTTGTTTCTCCTAGAAATGAGATCTTGTAAAACAGGATTTAACCCACTTAGAAAGGACTTTTTTTTTATTTGCATGTACCTGGTTTCTCCAGAAAGCTGGTTTAAACCCATTTAACTGGTCCCAGTCTAAATGGCTTGAGATGATTTTGTATCTTCAGGTATTGAACATGGGGCATCTGTTTGCATTGCACTCAGGCAAACATGTTTCAATTCATTGAAAAGAACAGATACTACTACAACTGAACTCTTTGAAAATCCTAGAAATGTTTGCATTTGTTTTTCACCTCATGTTATTTTTATTTTTCCACCTGACATGCACGTAGTAATATAATGAATGGAATCAGTCACTGTTGTGCTTGGTGTTTTCTTGTTGTCATTTCCAAGCTTCTAATCCTTACAGAATTTGTGTATCAGATATTGTACTTGGGAAGTAGTCTACATTGCACTGTAGCAAACTCTGTTTGCATTGCACTACTGTAAGACATGGTCCCTTCAATCAAAGAACAGATACTACATTTTGTACCACAATCACAGTACATTTCATGTACATTTTCATCTTCAGTTAATAATGCTCCACTGCATCAAAATGTACTTCTTCAGTTGGACAACAACAGGTAGAAAAAACCTGTCAGCAATAAAGTTTTTTTTGTCTCCTGTATGTATCTGGAAACTTTTTCTAAGCTAGGATGAATCGTTTTGTTTAAGATGCTGTCATGGTAAAAATGCACAAGCGATCAAATCACTGAGATACACAATGCAATTCTGTTGTGATGCCAAAAAAGTGGAGAATCCTTTTTTTTTTCTGAATAAAGTACCAACCAAGCTACTGTCAAATGCCTGTAATTGATGTGTGTCCGTTGACCCTTATTTCGCATTACTGTGAATGCATTTACTAAGTGGGGGTTTTATTTTGTGAAAGGATAGAAAAGTAGTTTTGGTGGAATTTCATGCTTGCAGTTGAAACAATTCTGTATTACAAATTGATTTTATTGTTATGATTTTACAGTAAAAGGCCACTATGAAAACCCTCTCAGTGATACCCCAGTAGGGGTTTTTCGAGAGTATCAAGAAGAAGAAAACCAGGAAAGTAAAACTACCATGAATATTTCATGATTTACAGTACAATTCACAGTACAATCGCACAAGGGCTGTTCTCCAGAATGTTGCTTGATTTGGTACAGTTTTGTTTCAAGCATGAACACTTAAACCATGAAATTATATTCCCACAAACATACTTGTAAATAAATTTATAGTACATGTATCATAGTATGAAGGGGTTTTGATAGCTATGTAATCATTATGTTAGCATGGGAGAAGTTGAGAAAACAGAAGATAAAGAGGTGATCCAACAGCTGCTGTACATTATCCATCTTCAGCACCTCAGTAACTACATGATGGTCATCAACCTCCTTTGACTCATCAGCATTTGATAGTGCTTCATCCATCCTGTGTACCTTTTTTTCTGCGTGAACAAGAAGTATACACCCTGGAGTATGGAAAATATCAGGCACAGAGAATTGTTGCTGGATGAGAAGTTCAGAGCTAGAGGGAAGAGTAGTGGTACAGATGTCCCTTATAAAGTTGAAATGAATATTTGTTTTTAGCAAGGTAGGCAATAAAAGTAACCATATCCTTGAAAATCTATATAATCAAGTTATTCAATGAAGCTGCAACTCAGCATCAGATAAAAACAGTCTGTGCTGGATGACTTGTACCTATAAAAACATTTTCACACTTCAATCTTCTGCAAATATGATTGAAAACGTAACGTTACATTGTGCATATGTAACGTTAACGTTACCAACAAATTATGCACATATCAGTGTGCAGGACAAAGAACCGTTTTCTGTGAAATATGTCACCGGGTAATAGTCCATGATTATATATGAATCATAGTGTTACAACATGATCATGATTATTAACACGTTAGAAGGAGTAACATGGCCTTAAAGGCACTCTATGTAGTTTTTTGCGCAAAAAATTGAAATATTCTAATTATACTAAATTTTGGTGTTATTAGCAGTTACTATCACTTTTCAACACATTTGTGTTATTATTTCACATTTTTTTCGTATATTTTGTCTGTTCAAACAGTCCTTCTTCAGTTCCCGGTGCCACCGGTTTGCTCAGGCAGGACAACAACAACAACATACAGTGGTTGCCCCCTGGGGTGGCTAATTGGCCCGGGCATGCCAGGCTCGATAGACAGGGGCAGATGTCACAAGATATACCCTCCTTAGAAAAAACTCATATCTTTCACATGAGGTGGAATATAATTATCAACTTAGAGTATTTTGTTGGGCATGAATAAACTGTGGCCATTATCCCTTCAAAAGAGATAAAAAATCTGGTAAACGATTAGGTATTTCAGAAACTGGTAAGCTATCAACTGACACCCCACTGGGATGTAGGTCAAACCACTGGGAGTGGACAATACCATATGTGTGGTTTGGCCAGAGGTTGAATAGAAGATCATTCACAGTTTTCTAAGCTTCTAAGGAGCAAGGATGTTGTATTTTTTGCTGGGGAGTATAATTTTGGAATACTAATGGGTTAAGCCAATGTACTATGTAAAGAAAAGAATAAAAAATATACTTTTTGTATTGTCAAAAAACTACATAGAGTGACTTTAAAACTAGTCATAGGGGACGGCAGTCAGAACTCTTTGCGTAACCTTTGACATTTAGATCGCACCACTTACTTATAGGGGGCCATATTGTCATAAATTAGACTTTTATGGGCAGAAAAATCCCATTTGGTAGTTCTCAACGTGTTGTTGGCGTTGATAAAACATTTCATACTGAATTCGTATAAATTTATGGTACTTGCTGTTAATTAAGTTCTGTTCTAATTTTTGAAACATTTACAGTGTGATGTTCCCATGACCGTCGCCATGGATTTTCCCACGCTCTGAGCAAAAAATGGCGGAAGGTGGGGAGGGGTGGACGCCCCCTTTCTCCAAAAGGAAGTCATTATGTGTGATAACTGGAGGTAGCAAAGGGTTCGGAAGAAGTGTGGCTGTTGCTTTAGCTGCAGAACTCGCTCGGGATTCCCATGTCGTGGTGCTAGGACGAAACTCGGAGTCGCTACGTGACACAGAAAAACTGTGCAAGGCGATGTCTCCACACATTCAAATCACAACACTCTTCGGAGATCTGTCCAAGTCTTCCGTCACCGGAAGCATATTTGCGTGTCTGAGGTTTCAGGTCGACCCAACGGACTATAAACACGCTCTTTTGGTGAACAACGCAGGGACCGTTGGGAACGTTAGTCGGAGAACTTGGGAACACAGCGACCCTCTAGAGCTGGACTCGTACTTCAACTTGAACGTGGCCTCCGCGGTCTCTCTAACGGGGAAGTTTCTTGAGTTTGTGAGACCGGGGAATTTGCCATGTACAGTGGTGAACGTGACGTGTGACGAGGCACAGAGGCCGATGAAGTGTCATTCCCTGTACTGTGCAGGGAAAGCCGCCCGGGAAATGATGTTTAAGGTCATGGCACAAGAGGAACCTCACATTCGAATTCTTAATTACAACCCAGGGCCACTTGAAACTGAACTTAAGGTGCCATGACCCAAGATTATTGCTGTTCTTAAGTATAGTTCTGTCCAGATGTTACAATAAACTAATGATAGAAATGTTTCAGAAACTACACTGCAGGGGAACTGACATATCTTGCAATGGCATTGGGGAAAGTACTAGTAGCCTTGTATCACTGAAAAGGTGTGTCATGCAACCAAGATTTACAGGAAGCTTTTAGTTTTACTTTACTTTACTTTACTCATTACTTCCTTTTCTTCCAGACAACAGTAATGATCGAGGCAGCAGATGATGGAGTCAGGGAGGAGATCAGAAGACTACGAGACAACAACCAGCTGATAGATCCTGATATGCCAGCTAGAAAACTCGTGCAACTTTTAAAAGAAGATTTATTCAAAAGTGGAGAAGTTGTGAACTTTCAGGAGAGCTGATACTTATGCTACTTCATTTGATGAATCATGAAGGCATTTCTAGCATTTGCACCATGCTGGAACTAATGGACGTGATTATTGACATATTGCAAGTTGCAATAGCCAAGAGAGAAAGTAGTCCTACCATGAAATGTTACACATAGGACGTGTGAAAAGAAATATGTACTACACATGTACATATCGGGGTGTTGTTGGTAGCTAATGTATTCATTTCTGCAAAGTCTTACCTCGCAAGCAGACAGAATGTGCACCACAAGAAATATGGAACAAAGAGGATGAGTGAGTGAGTGAGTGAGTAAGTGAGAAAGAGGGAAGGAAAGATGTACACATAAGGAGTACCACATAAAGACATGCAAAGCATGCAGGAGCTATACATTTTGGAATTTTGTTATCAATACATCTGACCCAGTTGGTGCAAGATCCTCCTCACAGGACATAGTTACTGACTCTTCTGTCTTCTGTGAGGATTCTTGGCACTAAAAAGAAAAAAAAACTGTCCATTTACACAGGCACTTGGAGATAGATCATGATATGGTGCTAGCCTCTGTGCATGCACCGTTAAAGTTCAGATTGTGACAGTGCTTACATTAGTGGTGCTAACCTATTGCATGTTTGGCAAATGATGAGCTTACTTACAGTATGCAATTTGAGCCTGGCAATTTCTGTGCAAAGCTGGGTTAGATTTTACTGATGGCTGCAAACAAACATTGTGTTTTCACAAATTTGGTACATTCACATGAAGGTGATGGGTACAAGAATACTCTCAGGGCAATCTGGCATTTTTCTTCTGTCAGATATTTTTATATGTCACCAGGAATAAAGGTGTGAACAAATTATGAAAAGGTTGTTGTGTATTTGTGCTGAAGACAAGTAGGGTATGGCACAGGTTTGCTTCCATAGAAATTATGCTTAATGAGAATTTCATATGGCATAAATGCATTACGTATACAATGTAGTTAGCAACAAACACTACACTTGATGCAAATGGAAATTGAATCATCATAATTGATGCATATTCTTCATATTTATTAGTGCAGATGAAAGCAAGTTGGATAAATCATTAACCACATTTATTAACAGTGAATGCCATCACTCTGCTTTCTTCAAAGTAGGTCAACGAGTGATGTCAATGGAGTGAGAATGAAGTCACGAAACATATAGGTTTTATAGGTTCTATAGGCTTTATAGGTTAATTAAGTGCTAGCAAAGTAATTTTCTTGAAAAATGGGGTTTTGTGTACATGAAAACTTGTGAGATGAAGCAAATCATAAAATACAGTGGAAGTTTTTATGGTTTCATCTATTGCCATGAATCGGGATTATATACTATATAGGGTACTTGAGTACATGATGATGAGACTGCATGTGTGCTTCAAATATGTGAGACAATACAATGGACATTCAGAACTTTACATTTCTAAGGGCATAAATTATATTTTCCTATATAAGACTGCTGGCAGTCTTTCTTATTTTGAGATTTAATTTAGAGAAAATATACAATGTATCCCCTTACATTGCATTGGGGACTGTTGTTGCAAAAATGTGGCTGCTGATGTTGACGCATGCGTACTTGGACACCTCGCTGCGCCTTCCGCGCTCCGTAAGCAAAGGGAGGAGAAGCAAATATGGCGGACCCCAAAGCCTCGGAGAACGGGCTGAAAAGGGGCGCAGAAATCCCCGCCACGATCGAGGAGGCCCTCGATGACCTTGTTGTTGTGACCTTGAGGCATGGAGACAAAGTGTTTAGGGGGGTTTTGCTGGATTCCTCGAAAAGGTGAGTGAAAAAGACGGGATTTTCTGCCGCATATTTGGTATGCAAATAAGCTGACATGACTCTGGCATCAAACTTTTTTGTTCACAAATTTCGCACGCATGTCCCAAATCATGACACAGGCTTTGTCTGTTGCTTCCAGGGACTTGCCGTATGGAGTGGCGGACGCCAGACTGCGGGTGAGCGGCGCTGCGATCGTGGAAACGTGCGGAGGAGAGAACAGAGACCCGCAAGATGGCAGCAAGGAAGGGGCCAAAGCCCCAGAGCTCAGCACGCTAAGTTTTCGAGCCAGCTACGGCCAGAACATTCCCTCTCCTCCACCCAGAAGAATCCTGAAAGCTAGGTCTACTCGAAGGAATATTTCTAGCAATAGAAACATCATAGAGAGAAGTAACATCAAGTTGAGGCCACGCCAAATTCTGTGTTCAAAGTGCAAAGAGTGCGTGAAAGATGAGGACTCCTCAAAGGTGGTGACATCCAAAACTACCCAGAACACACAGAGAGCCAAGCTGGCAAAGCTTGAGAACAGTAGAAAGAGGAAGGACATTTCCCCAGCAGCCAGGAAATCTGCGAAGAAGTTGAAGAAGCAGGATAATTTTGAGACAAGAGGGGTAAAGACCAGTCCTCTCATCAAGATTTCCTATGCCACCCCGCAGGGGAAGGGGAAAGTTCTGAAGATTCCGCCCAAAGTGACCAGCACGTACAGGTACGACAACACTGCCCATGACAACAGGTCCCACAGACTCAGTAAGTCCGAACGTGACAAGGCAAAGAAGGTGCTCAAAAAGGCGAAAGAGAGAGCTCAGGGCAAGGCCACAGGAGCACTGGCCATGTCACCCCAGCATCGCATGATACAGGGCACCGCAAATGGTCGTCCTGGCTTCCGACTGAAGCGAGCCGCCATCATCCCCCATGGAACTACTGCGCAGACTCCCCCCCTAACCACCTCCATGGACAGTTTGGACAGAAACAGTGCTGCTTCAGAAGACAGGCCTGCAACAGACAGGCATGGGCAACATGGCCGACAGGCCTCTGTGGGTGGTGCTTATGCAAATGGCCCCCATTCGGACATTGCACACTCCAACGGTGGAAAGAGTAAGAGGGACAAGGACAAGAAGAAGAAGAAAGGTGGTCTGTCCGTCGTGCTGAAGAATTTTAATTCTCAATGGACTCAATCACTAGACACGGCATCGATCAACAGCATGCGTACCGCCAGCTCCCAGTCTTCAGATGCATGGTCAGAAACGTCTGCTCCTTCTAACAGTTATGACTTTGCTCCGGAGCAAGAGGACACAGAGAGCAGGAATGGTCCAAAGATAGTGCCACCCCTTAAGGTTCATCTTCACACCAAGAACGTCACGAAAACGATGACGGCACAAGGGCGAACAGTTTGCCTAGGGGACATAGTGTGGGGTAAGATCCATGGCTTCCCATGGTGGCCAGGACGTGTCATGTCTATCACTGTCAGTAGGGCAGAGAATGGGGAGATCGTACGGCAGGATGCACACGTGGAGTGGTTCGCATCTTCCACCACCTCGCACATCGCATGTTCTACGCTGTCGCCCTACCTGGAGGACTTCAAGCAGCGGTTCAATAAGAAAAAGAGGGGGCCGTACCGGAGGGCAGTCAAAATTGCAAGTGAAGCGTGTCAGAAGCAGACATCCGAGTTGCGAGCCCTGTACACACAATTCGAGACAAACTCTCATGTGGCGTAGACACAGAGTGGTAGGTATTTTTTTGCTTTCATTCTGTGAATAGCCATTTTTCTTTCTGGCTAAGCTCTGACAATAGAGAAGCAAAACTCAAAATAAGGTTGATCTGAAATTGCGTCTAGCCTTTTTATTTCAGTGATTGGTATACTTTTTTTGTCAGAGCTCCCCTCAATGAGAACTATGGCTAATCATGAATGTACAGTTAAAATTATTCTCGTTTTCAGTGATTTTCACCCCAACATTTTTTTCACAGCATGGTTCAACTTCAGCTCATCTATAGTCTCCGCACATGCACGGCCCAATTTACACTTGCAGGATGCAAATTGGATTTGCATATATACAGAAGTAATATTGTCTCCCCCTCTTTGTTTAAAGAAAGCACTGCATGAAGCTATGCCCTGGGGAAGAACTGTATGTCTGAAGACACTTGCAGGTTTTCCAAATTTTCTTCTAATTATGATTGTTTATACAGGGAAGGGGAGTCTTGGTTGTCATCACAAAATACAATGCCTGCCAAGTAATCGAAAATAATGTAACAACTTGCATCAACAGATTACTAGTATGTCAATCTGCCCAAACATGCACATACTAGTACCTATTGTGCAGGTTTCAAAGGTTATGAGTCCAGGGTAAAACTGTGTCCTTCATTATGCCTATGAAGGACATATAGTTTTACCCTGTTTGCCAAGTGCAAGATGTAAGTTCACAACTGATTTATGATGTAAGTACTCCCAGGAAGTACATGCCAGTGAGTGTACATGTACATGCATGTATTTCCAAATATTTCTTTCCCGCCCCGACATGTACATTTGCCAATGTGGAATTCTTTGCCTAGTTTATTTAGAATTTAGAACTACACGTCATGTAAGCTAATCACTCAATGACTTCCATGTCAGGCAGTGTACAGAACCTGGGTTGCTTGAGGGACTTTCAGAACAAGAGGAAGTCCTGCAGCCCATGGGACTAGACAGAAAATAGGAGTGCCATAAACAAGATGAGGCTTGTTTCACAATTGAAGGATAAAAATTACATGTGATTTTACCTCCATGGTTTCACAAGTCAGAACATCCACAACATGTTGTATGATGGCACTTGGTGCTAGATTTGGTGGAAAACATGAAATTGTGTCATCTCAACTTTTTCCAAACAAAGGCAAGCTGCCATGCTTCTGGATCAAAAGAAAAAGGGAATGTGTGTGTGAACCCTGACAATAATAA